TCCTTGCGGCGTGAACGGCCACAGCAAACCACCGCTGCCCCTGCCGCCGCCGCCGCGTTCCGTTCGTTGCGGTGAGCGATAAAAGTCGCTGCTGTTGCTGGGTCTCGTGGGTGGGACATTCGTGCAACCAGAGAGAGGAGAAGCTAGTGCGAGTTGCTTGACGCCACTGCCGCTGCTGCCGCCACCGCCGCTGCCGCCGATGCTGCCGCTGCTGCGCAGGGTGCCTATGCCGCTGACGCTGCAATAGTGGGTGCGGTTAACGCTTCCGCTAACGCCGCTAATGCGCAGGTGGTTTCCACGGAGCGTCATGCCTGCCAGGGCATTCGCAGGGACAGAAATCCTTCTAGCACCAGCATCAAACCTAATTAGATCCTCTCCGGCGCGCTCCCGGAGTGAGCGAGCGCACGAATCCTGAGAAACTCGTAATTGAGTATTTCTTATTACTGGATGATCTTTAAATGTTCCTGTTGGGTGCCTCGAAACCATCTCCGCTGAGAACGAAGCTCCGCTGAGAGCCATAACGGGAGGACTTGCGCGAGATACGAAGTTAGACGTACTAGGAAGAGAGAAAAAAAGGGAAAGGAACAACAGCAACTTGTGGCGATGGAGCGGAAGAACCGGGAGAACTCAAAAAGCCAGATTACCGCAAAGTGCGGACTCATGCGATGCGACAACTTCTGTGTAGAGAAAGAAGCGATGGAGCAGAAAAATCTCCCTCAAGAGCCTGTGAGTGCGGTTACCGGAATAACGCTCCAACCTTCGTGGTGTTGTATTTGTGGGGCAGCGGGTGCGCGTGTGATGATGGCTCGACGAAGATACTGACTTCGCGACAGCAGAGCGAAACTGCACGAACTGTGCAAGGCAGAAATGCAGCCACCCAGCTTGCCTTGTGAAGATATTTTGCCTACTTTCTTGCATATCTCGTCATTACAGCCGTCAGATGTGCGCTGGACGAAGTTCTCGCGTGGTTATGCCAGCGTGGAACCAGATCTGGTCACGTCAGTATGTTCGTGCCTTCTCGTTAGCCCATAGATCTCCCTCCGGCGATACCCTCAATCTCATTGGCCCAGCCTCAAACAGCAGCAGTTACCCTTCCGATTTCGAAACTTTCATCAGCTTTTTCTCGTCAGTTTCGCCAGTCTCCACACTCCACCCGCTTGCACATCCCAAGGGCATCTTCGATATAAGTCCTAGGCATCTACTCCGTGTACAATGATGTGTCTTCCCTTCTACTATACCTCTCTTCCCCTGGTCAAAATCTATTCGCTTCTCTACTTCACTCGCCCTGATTTCTCCTCACCTCCGTTCTTCTCCTCCCCGTGACTCCCGCCACCGCGCCCGCGAACGCAGCTCGTGCCTTTTCTCCGCAATCCACGGTTGGGAAGGCGACTCGCGATGGGGAGGAAGAAAGGCAGGGGCGGGATCGCGACTGCTGGTTTTACAGGCGGGACGGACAAAGCCGGCGGCAGCGGCAACACGAGTGACGGATGGGATTGGCTTCAGCTGAAAGGGAAAACGCCAGCCAGCACAAGCAGCGCGGACCCTTCCGGCGGCGCCAAGAGCGCCGGAAAACGCGGTGGAAAGTCCGCCGGTGAGACGATGCAACCCTTAAAATCCGGGCGGAACACGTCGGCAGTTGCGAAAGCGAGCGACGGCAAGCCGGCGGCGACTTTCGTTAAAGGCACATCGCTGGCGGTTTCAGGCGGCAAAGGCGCGTCGGGCCCGTCCGTGAAGAGCGGAAAGGGGAGCGCGACAGGGAAGGCTCCCCAGGTAGCCGCACCAGTAGCGGCAGCGGCAGCAGCAGCAGCAGCAGCGGCGGCGGCGGCGGCGGCGGCTGGGGTGGCGGGAGCGGGAGCGGTAGCGGCATGTAGAGCGGTGCAGGGTAAAAGTGGTGCTGTGAAAACTGTATCACCGATTCTCACCACCACCAGCACCGGCGATCTAAGCGCCGCTGCCGCTGCCGCTGTCGCTGCTACTGCCGCTGGGAATCCCGGTGGGGGTGGGGGGGGCAGCAGTGGCGGACGGCAGAGGAGGCGCGGCAAGTGGAGGGTGGTGGACGGGCCGCAGCTGGCGCCGCTGCTGGAGCTGCTGACTAGGTGAGTTGAGTTGAGGGGGCTTCATATAGGTGACGTGCTGGCGAGGCGAGGCGAGGCGAGGCGAGGCGGGGTGCCAATTCCAGAACATGTGATCACGTTGCTCACACCAATCCCAATCCCTTCAGCTGCAATCTTTTTTTTGTTTGACAACATATTGGCCCTCTCCTTGTCCTCTCCCCATGACCCCTCCCTCCCGTCTCGTCTCGTGCTCCCCAATCACGCGAGTCCTTGATGCTTCCGTTGCGTTTCCCTTCCGTCAGAGTGGCACAGGAGAGCGCTCAGCATCGCTCTCAGGAGGGGAGCGGAAAGGAAGCGGAACGGAGGGGCATGGAAAGGCAAGGGGATGCGCCGCAGGGAAGAGCAGATGCGGATGGAATGGCGATAGCGGTGCCAGCTGCAGCAGCTGGGGGGGCTGCAGCAGCAGAGGGTGCTGCAGCAGGAGCAGCAGCAGCCGGAGGTGGGGGAGCAACAGCACGTGAATCAGCATCAACGGCTACGCTTCCTTCCCCACCCGGACCCCCTCCCGTGCTGCTGTGTGGCCTGCGCTCTGTCACCCGCCTCCTCCTATCCCTCGCCTCCTCCCCCTCCCCCGCTTCCTCCGCCCCCTCGCCCGCTCCCTCCTCCTCCTCCTGCTCCCCCGCTCTCTCCTCCCAGGGGACTATACAGCGTGAGACATGGAGCAAGCGGCACAAAGCCTCAGGCAAGGGGGCAGGCAAGGGCGCACACAAGGGTGTGTTTGGTGTTACTTCCCAGATTCCGTCTGCTGGCGATGGCTGTGCTGCTGTTGCTGTGGTTGGTCGCCCAACCGGAGTGGAGGCTGAGTGGGATGGCAGTGGGAAGAAGAGGCGGAGAGAGAGCAGCACGGGAGACGGTGCAGGTGAAGGCGGAAGTGCTGGAGCGATGGAAGAGGAGAGGAAGGGAAAGGACAGAAAGCGTACTCGGGGAGTATCAGATCCCATCGAATCAAGCCCAGCAGCAGCACAGCCAGAAGTATCACCACCAGCAGCAAGCGAGAAACGAACCGAATTGGCGGAGCCAGGCGCAGTGGGGGGGAGAGCAGGGGTTGGGGGGGTTGTTCCCCCTCTGCTTGTGGTGGCAGCAGCAGACGTGTTCCCTCGAGTGCTCACGGCACACCTGCCAGAGCTAGCCGCTGCCACCGCCGTGCCTCTTGTGCTAATCGCTGCTGCCACCCCCACCGCCTCCGCTGCTGCCTCGCTGCTCCTCGCCCAAACGCTCCGCCTCCCCTGCCGCTCCACGGCTGCGCTTGCCATCATGGTCAGTGCCTGCTTCTTCTTGTTGCCTGCGTTGCCTGCGTTACCTGCGTTGCCTGCATTGCTTGCGTTGCCTGTGCTGAGTGGCAGTTGATCCAGCCCCGCATGATCGTAGCAACATTTGTCATTTGTAGCCTTGTGACTGTCTCTGCATCTAGTTGGTACGGACTCAACTTTTGCCTCGCTCACTGCCTCTCTTTATCCAGTTTCTTTACCCTGCTCTGCCACAGCTCCATTCCTCAACTATTTTCCACCAAACCACATCACTGTATTCATATTAGTGTACCCCTCCCAATGTGTGCCCCCATGCCCCTCCCGTGTGCGCTCGTGCCTGTGTGTTGTGTGCGGCACCGGCAGCCTGGGTGTGCTGCAGTGGAAAGGACAGCAGAGGCCATTGCACTCCAGTACGCCACCACCACCCATGCAACAGACGCTGCTTGACTGCTCAGCGTGCATCAGGGCATGCCCCACATGCCACGTGTCACCGCGCACGCGCGCGCGCGCGCGCGTGTGTGTGTGTGTGTGTGTGTGTGTGTGTGTGTGCACAAGCATATGGTGTGCGGTGCGGTGTCTGAAATGCAGCAGAGTGCTGCAGTGCACACATGTTTTAAGATGCATTCTTCTTCAGTCTTTATGATGGAGCATTCAATACACTGCTATAAAAAGAAGAAGTACAGTGATATGCACACGCGAAACAAGTCAGTGATTCCCGAAATATACAGCGCAGGTGCGCGAATGGGAACTAAAAGGATGTGCGATATGAGAAGAGTATTTGAATTGGTATTACTGTAAATGGAGATTGTTTGTTGTACTTTATTTTGATAAGAGCAAACTTGTTCTTGATGGGGGAATCGCACAGCAATTTGTTCCTCCTATGGACATGCCCAATTGCTTGCTTCCAAACAACACACTCGATACTTTGTGAACGGATGTTCCCTACAATGATCCTCAGAAACAAGAATTCAGGATATGGTGCATGAGCTTTTTTCCTACTGTTATATCCGTAGATGAGCTGTTTTAACTGTATGCACCGTTTCTGAAAGCCATAGGAAGATGCAGGCGAGACTACCCGAAAGATGCCTATAAGCGGTATTAGCAAAGGCATTTGAAGGGAGTATTCAGCCAGTCGTTCAACCGCGTTGCGAATTTGGCGAACTTAGGACACGCTCTAATCTACGCGCAGCCTTTTCGATAGCTCAAGGGTGCAGCTGGGATCCCTCCAGTATTTAGTCTAAAAAAAATCCTTGTTCACCGAGGTTGAGGTTTTTAGTGGTCTAGATTTTAGAAGCCACGCCTAGCCACGGCGGGTTTAGTCTCGTAAACATGCAGGAAATTAGTTCCAAGGAGAATGGCTCGCAATAACTCTGTCGGGACAATGATGGCGAGTCGCTAGGATGACACAAGGCTGTGCAACGGCAGTGGTATGGGCGATCAAGGGCGGCGACGCGAGACAACGAAAGGGAAGAAAAGAGAGCAGTCAGAGTCGACAAGAGGGGAGGAAGACTGTAGCTCGAGGGCGTAGAGCGACAATCGAGACATATTAGAGTAGTGAAATAAGGGGTCGACAAGCGCGAGAGCGCGTCTGTTTCTGAGGCGCGTCACAATAAGGGGTTGATAAGAGCGGGAGCGCGTGATGGACCAGCTCTTCGCGGCTGCTCTCGAGGAGATCGCTCTTGAAGGCCGTGACGGTAAGCCAGCCGGCCGGCCAGCCAACCAGCCGGCCAACCGGCCAGCCAGCCAGCCAGCCAGCCGGCCAACCGGCCATCCAGACCTGGCCAGGCCAGGCCAGGCCAGACTATGCCAGGTCCAGTCCAATCTAGGCCAGTCTAGGCCGGGCCAGACCACGCCTCCAGGTCAGGCCAGGCCAGGCCAGACCGAGTCAGGCCAGACCGAGTCAGGCCAGGCCAGGCCAGTAGTAGATCACCTGTTCCCTTTCCCGCCTCCCTCCCTGCATTGCTTTACTTCCCACTTTGACTCATAATCCCACCTTCCCTCCCTATCCTCGTTTCAGGCTGCTCCCTTTCCGCTCTGCTGCGCCTGCTCTCCCCCACGTGCCAGCAGCTCCGCCTGCCCCTCCCCCTGGACTCCGCCTTCCGCCAGTTGCTCTTCTCCCGCCTCCTCCGCTGCCCCTCCCTCTCCCTCCTCTCCCATCGCCCCCTCCCCGGCTTCGCTCCCTTAGAAGAGTCTGTTTTGGATGGTTATGGTGCAGGGGGAGGGGGAGGAGGGGGAGGAGGGGGAGGAGGGGGAGGAGAGGAGGGAGGAGGCGGAGGAGGAGGAGGGGTAGGGGTGGGAAAGGCTTTATCGGAAGCAGCGGCGGGGAGGGGGGAGGATGAGTGTGGAGATGAAGAGTCGGGAGGAAAGAAACAGAAACAGAGCCAGAAGAAGAAACCTGGGAAGGAGAAGCCGGTGCGGTACCGGTGGGTGGGTTGCGGTGGTGTGCGGGGTGAGAGAGGTGAAGGAGGTGTGGGAAGCGTGAGGAACGATGGACAAGGGAAGAAGGAGAAAGCAGAGAAGAAGCCAGCAGGAGGAGGAGGACGAGAAGAAGAGGAGTGGGGATGGGAGAGTGTGGAGAGGGAGGGCGTGGTGGTGGTGGCGCATAAGGGGCTGAGACTGGCGTCTCTGGGCGTGTACGAGGAGAGCGAGTTCGAGTGTGGGCTCAGCGATCTCATGATCGACACTCTGGAGCTCGTTGGCAAGACCAGGTGCGCTGGTGGGTCTGCGTGTGTGGGTGTTTTTCTGAGAGTTACCATATGCGCGCGTGCATATGTGCCTTGCCTCGTGTGGGCTCAGCGATCTCATGACCGACATTCTGGAGCTCGTTGGCAAGACCAGGTGCGTGTGCGGGTGTGCGTGTGGGTGTGCGTGTGGGTGTGCGTGCGCGTGTGCGTGCGCGCGTGTGTGTGTGTGCGTGTGCGGGTGTGCGCGTGGGTGTGCGTGTGGGTGTGCGCGTGGGTGTGCGTGTGGGTGTGCGTGTGGGTGTGCGTGCGCACGTGCGTGCGCGTGTGCGTGCGCGTGTGTGTGTGTGTGTGTGTGCGGTGTGGGTGTGCGCGTGGGTGTGCGCGTGGGTGTGCGTGTGGGTGTGCGTGTGGGTGTGCGTGCGCGCGCCTGTGTGCGTGTGCGTTTGCGTTTGCGTGTGCGTGTGCGTGTGACACGCTGCAGTGCTGCTGCGTCCACCTTCCCTCTCTTTGCACCTCTCTTCCCCATCCTCCTAGGCGAGGCGGGGTGTCCCAGGCGCAGCTGGCGAGGACGATGCGGGTGAAGAACAACAACTTCCATTACGTGCTGCGATCGCTGGAAGCCACTTTTGAGGCACCTTGAAAGCCCTCTCTCTCTTTGCTCCTCCCTCCCTCCCTTGCTTTGCTCCCCCCTCGTCCTCCTAGGCGAGGCGGGGTGTCTCAGGCGCAGCTGGCGAGGACAATGCGGGTGAAGAACAACAACTTCCATTACGTGCTGCGGTCGCTGGAAGCCAGACACCTCATTGCCATGCACGCTGTCGTCACCCGCAACTCCCTCGCTCCCAACTCTGCTGCTGCTGCTGCTGGTGCCACTGGTTCTGGTGGTGCTGCTGGTGCTGGTGGTGCTGGTGGTGCTGGTGGTGCTGCTGGTTCTGCTGCGTCGCACGCGTGCCGTACCAATATGCTCTACCTGTCGCGCTTCTCACCCGCAAGCATCACAGGGCAGGGTAACTACCACCTCCCACGTTCTGCTTCTGAATCCGCTGCTGCCTCTGCTGCTGGAGAGCAGTTGGGCACGGGGGGAGGTGCAAGCGACAGGTGGGAAGCTGGTGCGGAGGCAGAGGCATGGATGATGGCTGCAGCAGGAGGTGGGGCAGGTGGGGGTGAAGGAAGAGGGGGAGGAGGGGGAGGAGGAGACATGCAATGGGGTGGAGGGAGAGATGGGAGCGAGGGGAGAGGAGGCGGAGGGCGAGGAGGGCAAGGAGGAGGCATGGGGGTTGGAGCAAGGAGTGAGGATGGGGGTGGGGCGGGAGGGTCGGTGGTGCTGAGGGGAGTGGATGATGACGTGGCAGCGATTTTGTCCATATGCCAGTACCTCTCCAACGTGCAGGGACAGGTGGGTGTAAGGTGCAGTGCAGAGTGAGAGTTGTGCAAGGGGGAAGGAGGAACAGAGGGGGGAGGGGGGAAAAGGGGGAGGGGGAAGGGGGAAGGGAGGGGGGGAGAGCAGGGGGTTGTGGAAAAGGGGTGAGTGTGGGTTTGGAATCTGGTTGAAATGTGATTTGCTTGCAGCCCATGTTCTCTCACAGGAGAACTAGTCTTATGAAAATTCCAATGAATCACAAAACATGTGTCACAAATTCTATCCCTTCCATCCTTCCTCGTCCCTCTCGTCCCTGCGCCCACCCATCCCTCTTCCACCTCCCTCTCATGTCCCACCCTCTCTTCCAACTTTCTCCCCGTTTTCTCTCCCACTGTTCATCGTTGGTTGACTACCCCCCTACACCATGTCAGGTGCTGGTGTGTGGAGAGCTCAAGGCTACTCTAGGTTACCGCTTTGCCACAGGCCATCGCCTCTGGAGACGCGTATGCATTCTTCCCCTCCTCTCTGATGGCTTTGAGATGGCTTTGAGATGGCTTTGAGATGGCTTTATCCCCACCCCTCCCTTTCTCCCTCCTCTCCTTGCTCCCTCCCCTCCTCATTCCTTCTGCTCCTCGCTCTCTCCCACTCTCTTCCCCTCTCCTCTCACACAGTTTCTTCTCCTGCTACTAGTCTTTCAAATTTCCTCCCGTGTGCACTGACCGTATATTATGCCTCCTTCGCTCCCTCCTCTCTCTTTTGGTTTGGGCTACATCTGGTCTCATGCATGCAGAAAATATGCTTGCCGGATTATATTGTCATTCTTCTTAGTGGAAGACAATGGTGAAAGAAACCTTCTGTGTGTGTGTGTGTGTGTGTGTGTGTGTGTGTGTGTGTGTGTCTGTTCCATAGCCCCAGTCCTTGTTACCCTGCTCCTTCGTTTCCCGTTTCGGTTTGTCCTTCATATTCCTCCCATCTGTACATCGCCATGCATCTCCCATAGTCACCCCCTCGCACACCACAGCTGCAGTACCGCATGATGCTGCAGACAGGCATCATCCGCTCCGCATCTTCCAAGCTAGCCTATGTGCACATTTTTTGAGTGAACTCAAGATTCATCTTGCATTCTTTCATCGCAGCATCGCCCGTGCATCGCCCCCTCACTCACACTACAGCTGCAGTATCGCATGGTTCAAGCAGGCATCATCCGCATTTTCCAAGCCTATGTGGACAGCAGGGTATGCCACCTACTGCATGCACTCTCCTCCTTCCCCTCTCCTCCTTCGTCTCTCCTCGTTCCTCTCTCTTCTTTGCCTGCCTGCCTGCCACACACACCTCTGATCTCCTCCCTTTGAAGCATAGCGTAACTTTCGTTCTAGCTACTCGTGTGTGACCTTTTAGTACGCCTCTCGCCTCTTACTGCTCCCCGTTCACTCGTTTCCCTCGTTTCCCTCTTTAACCCACTCTGTCTACTCTCTCCTCTGCCTGCAGATGGTGCCGTGTGTGCAGCTGGTGCGGACATACACAGAGTCACAGCTCCGCTCCTTCCTCTCCTTGCCCACCCCCCAACACTGACGCAGCACAACACCCAACCCAACTCTTGTGTACTCTAATTTCTCGTTCTCCGTTGCTGCTGTGACCCCTCTCCCTGCCTGCCTGCAGATGGTGCCATGTGTGCAGCTGGTGCGGACATACACAGAGTCACAGCTCCGCTCCTTCCTCTCCTTGCCCACCCTCCAACCACCCTCGGATGCTCTATTAAAGGGGTGGCAGGGGAAGGGCAAGGGAAGGGGCATGGGTGAAGAAGATGGGGATGAGGATGATGATGATGATGATGATGATGATGAGGAGGAGGATGATGGGGATGGTGATGATGATTTGGGTGGTGATGATGCTGATGAGGATGATAATGATGATGATGATGTTGGTATTGACGATCAAGCAGCAGCACCAGCAGCAGCAGAAGCAACAGCAGGGGCAGTGGGGTTGGGTGGGAATGCATGTGGGGCCTTGATTCCCAGAAGAGTGGGTGAAAAGGCAGCAGCAGCAGAAGCAGCAGCCGAAACAGCCTCTGCTGCGTGGGCTGCGTGTGGGATAGGCGGTGAGCAGAGCGTGTGCTTGGCAATGGAGCTCAGTGCGGAGCAGCAGGTGTTGGATGCGGTTCAGAGGCATGCTCCCGATGGCGTGCTGCAGCCAGAGGTGAGAGATAGTCAGTGGAAGAGGCTTCCGACTGTTGTGAGAGGGAGAGAGGAAGAGAGAGGATGAGACTGCGTGCTTCTGAAAGTGCTGAATGCTGTTAACAGGCAATGCTTTCCATGGGTTGGTGCAGAGAGGTGGGGGGGAGCCGATTTTTGAGTCGACTCAATAGCTACCTTAAACTCGTCGTCCATGCTCCCTGTCAGTCTCCTTTTCACCGCGACTCAAGCTTCCCGCATCCCTCCTCCCCTTCCCCACCCACATGTCCTTCCTTCCTGCGCCACCTCTCCTCTCCCCCTTCCTCCCCCAACACTCCCCCCCCTCTCTCCCCCCATTCTCCCCTCTCCCTCTGTGAAAACCAGCTGGCGGGGGCGATGGCGGGGGTGGGCAAGAAGCGGTTTTACCGCATAGTGCAGGACCTGCAGGAGAGGAAGCTGATCACCGCCCATGCCGAGAACCACCAGCGCATGACCGTCTACCGCCTGCTGCTCCTCTGCCCATGCCCCAGCCTCTCTCCCTTGCCTATTCTCCTCAAACCTCACTCCCTGCGTCCCCCCTCCCCTCCCCACATGTCCTGCCTTCCTGCGTCCCCTCTCCTCCTCTCTTTCCTCCGTTCTCTCTCTCTCTCCCCTCCTCTCCACCAACCAGCTGGCGGGGGCGATGGCGGGGGTGGGCAAGAAGCGGTTCTACCGCATAGTGCAGGACCTGCAGGAGATGAAGCTGATCACCGCCCACGCCGAGAACCACCAGCGCATGACCGTCTACCGCCTGCGCGCCCTGGAGCCCCCCCCTGCTGCTGCTCCTCCTCTGCTGCTGGAAGCAGCGGTGGGCGACGGAGGTGGCAGGGGGGGAGGAGGAGGAGAGGGAGGAGGGGGAGGAGGAGCGGGAGGAAGAGGAGGGAAAACAGGAGGAGTGGTAGCAGAAGCGGTGGGTGGGGCGGGTGAGGAGGATGGAGGAGGAGGGAGTGGAAGGGATGGGAGGGAGGAGGATGGGTTTGGGGCACTGGCTATAGTGCCTTCTGCTACTGCTGTTGAGGGGTTGCTTGGGTACGGTGAGGCAGAATGTGTTGGTGCGGATGGTGGTGGTGGTGGTAATGTTGATAGCGATAGTGATGGGGATAGGGAAAGTGTTGCTGATAGTGATTCTGATGGTGATGGTGATACAGATAGTGGTGAGTCCAGGCAGGGAGGAGTGGGAGCGAGGGAAGGTAAGGGGAGTGGTGCAGAAGCGAAGACAGGGAGGCCGAGAGGGAGAGGGAGAGGAAAGGTAGGCGTGGTTGAGGGAAGGGACGAGGAGAGCGAGGGTGGTAGGGGGAAAGGAAGGGGTAGGGGGAGGGGGAGGGGGAAGAATGAAGTAGGTGAAGAGGCAACAGCTGAAGCAGAGATTGCTAGGCAAGGCAGAGGGAGAGGGAGAGGGAAAGGGAGAGGTAACGGGGGAGTGGTTGAGGAAAGTGATGAGGAGGAAGGGGGTGATATGGGAACGGTTAAGGGGAGGGGGAGGGGCAGGGGGAGAGGGAGGGGAAGGGGGAGGGGGAAGGGGAGGGGGAGGGGGAGTGGGATTGGGATGGGCAGGGACATAGGAGCTGAAGCAAGCGAGTTAGATAAAGGTGAGGGTGTGGATGAAGCAGGTGGGAAGGAATCACAGGTGGTTGAAGCAGATGGAGTAGCAGTGGCGAAAGTAGAGGATGGTAAGGAAGGAAGAGGGAGGGGGAGGGGGGGGGGACGAGGAAGAGGAAGAGGGAGGGGGAGGGGAAGGGGAAGGAGCATTGCAAGAGGGCATGAGGGAGAGGGAAGCAAAGAGGCTGTACTGAGAGAGGAAATCGAGGATGCAGATACAAAGGAGAGGGCTGGGATTGGTACAGGTGCTGTGGTGGCGAGAGCTGATATGGCTGAGAGAAGGGAAGAAGGGCAGGCAGATGTGGATCCAAGAACGTTGACGTTGAGGGGGGAAGCAATCCTAGAAGGGCAGGAGGGGCATGTGGGAGAGTACGTGGGAGAGGATGAGGATTCTGTGATTGCGCTGGGGGATGAGGATTCTGTAGTTGCGTTGACATTTGAGGATTCTGTAGCTGCGTTGAAGTTTGAGGATTCTGTGATTGCACTGGAGGAGGAGGAGTGTGAGTTGGTTCTAGCTGCTGCATCGGGTGAGGGAGAAGATGAGAGAGGGAGGCGGGGACGCAAACGCAGGAAGATTGATTTTGGATTGAAGGGGAAGGGAGATGGTGAAACGGGAGATGGGAAGGGAGATGGGAGGGCGGCAGCAGCAGTAGCAGCAGCGGCAGTAAGAGGAGTGAGGACTAGAGCTGGTTCGTTGCTGGCTGCTGCTGCTGCAGCAGCAGCAGTTGAAGAGGCAGGGGCAGGTGTGGGGGTGAGTGAAAGTGACGATACAGTGCCAGGGAAAGCAGCAGCAGCAACGGAGGTGCATGAAAGGAACCTTGCCATTGAGCACTCAGCAGCAGACACTGCAGAAGGAGAGAGAGCAGATGGGACAGCGGCAGAAGCAGAAGCATGCACAGCAGAAGAGGCAGCAGACGAAGGAGCGGAGGAGACAGCCATAAGAAGAGAAGAATCCATGAAGGCAACAGAGTTAGACATGGCCCCATTATCTGATGGCAGTGGTGGTGGTGGTGGTGGCAGTGATGGTGCTGCTGCTGCTGCTGCTGCTGCTGCTGCTGCTGCTGCTGCTGCTGCTGCTGCTGCTGCTGCTGCTGCTGCTGCTGCTGCTGCTGCTGCTGCTGCTGCTGCTGATGGTGGTGGTGGTGGTGCTGCTGCTGATGATGGTGGTGATGGTGATGATGGTGGGGAAAGGGACAGGAGAAGTGGTCGTGAGGCGCGTCACTTATCGTCACCCCAACCCCCATCTGATCATCTGGACCCTCATCTGGAGGATGCTGGGTCAGGTGAAGGGGCTGGCATGGTATCAGGGCATCCTGCTACCTCCATCTTCCCTTCCCCGGCCTCCCCTTCCCCCTCATTCCCCTCCCCACACACAAACCTCGCCCATGGTACTCCTCCTTTCTCTCCCGCACCCGCTTCCCATTCTCTCCTTCCTTCACTTGCTTCTTCCACTCCTCCTCCTCCCGCTCCCCTGTCTGCTGTCTCGCCTGCACTCCTATCCCACGGCCCTTCTAAGCCCGTCATCTCAAGGGTCTATACACGCCGTCGCAACGCCACACAGCCGAAACAGGAGGCGCTTCAGAAAAAGCAGCCTGATTGCAGTGCTCAAGAGAGGAATGGAACACGGCAAAGCAATAAGGGCGCGCAGCAGAGAGAGGTGGAGGAGGAGCGAGGGCTTGAAGAGCGTGAGACGGATGGAGAGAAGGAGGTAAGTACGGGCAGTGAGGTGCAGAAGGAGAAGCGGCAGAGGGGCCGAAGCAGGAACAAGGAGCAGAAGCGGCAGCAGAAGCAGAAGCGGAAGCAAGCAGAGGAAGCGGAGGAGGAGGAAGTGAAAGATCGAAAGGCGGAGCAAGAGGAGCTAGAGGAGCAAGAGGAGCAGGAGCAGGAGCAGGAGCAGAAGCCGCAGCAGCTAAGTCTGAGGAAGCAGCGGCAGCAGTGGCAGAAGCAGCAGCAGGAGCTGCAAGGTCCAGACGAGAGGCCAGTGTCTCGCCGTTCCAGCTTCCCCAGGGATGAAGCACTGTGGAAGAGACGAGAGGAGACCATTATAGCCTTCCTCGAGGTATGCCTCTTTCAATCCGACTCAAAAAATGCCCTTTTTTTTTTCTTGAGTCGACTCAAAGTCATAGCGCTCCAGCTTCCCCAGGGATGAAGCACTGTGGAAGAGACGAGAAGAGACCATAATAGCCTTTCTTGAGGTAGTCTACGCCTTATTCCCATCAAGGTATTCCCTCTTTCTCCTCTGTATTCCTGTGTTGTCTTCACGTTCTTGCCCACCCCTTCCCCTCCCCCCCCACCGCTCCTCCCCCGCTTCCCCGCCACCGCTCTCCTTCCCTTGCCTTCCTCTTCTTCCTGCATCCTTATTTCCCTTCCTCCTTCCCACGGTTTCTACTACCCTCCCTCGCACTCCCTTTCCCCCATCCTTTCCGTCCCTCCCCGCCCTCCCTCTCTCGCTCCCCTCCTCCTTCCTCCGTCCCCGCAGGCCAATCAGATAGCGACGCGGTGGGAGCTGCACCGGCACATGGTGGCGTCAGAACGTGCCTTCCCATAGCTTCCTCCCAAACCCTGTCCGTCCGTACTTCCCCCCCCCCCCCCCCGCACCAGGCCAATCAGATAGCGACGCGGTGGGAGCTGTACCGGCACATGGTGGCGTCAGAGCGGGCCTTCCGAGCCGCCACCATGGATCGCAAGACCCTCAACCGCATCCTCGACGCCATGCGCGCGCGCGCCCTGCTCAAGCGCATGCTCCTCTCCGTGCCGGGGGTTTCTGAGACCTTTTCACCCAAATTTCCACCCCCCTCCCTCCCCTGCTCTTCCTCTCCCCTCCTCCCTCGCTCCGTACCTTCTCTCCCTCTCTCCCTCCCTCACTCCCTCCCTCCCTCCCCTCAACCCCACCTTCCTCCCTCTCACCAGGCGAATCAGATAGCGACGCGGTGGGAACTATACCGGCACATGGTGGCGTCAGAGCGGGCATTCCGGGCCGCCACCATGGATCGCAAGACCCTCAACCGCATCCTCGACGCCATGCGCGCGCGCGCCCTGCTCAAGCGCATGCTCCTCTCCGTGCCGGGGGTTTCCAACGGCGGCCAGGCCCGCACTCTCGAGATCGTGCTTTCCGGGAGTGCCGATGCGAGCCCGGAGGCCCTTGCAGCGGTGATTGCGCGGCATAGGAGGCAGGAAATGGAGAATGCGAGGGGGGGCGCGGATGTGATGTGGGGAAAGAAGGTGGAGGGGAGAGGGGGTGGAGGAGGAGGAGGAGGAGGAGGAGGAGGAGGAGGAGGAGGAGGAGGAGGAGGAGGAGGAGGGGAAGGAGAGGGAGCAGGGGATGGAGGAGGGGATGGAGGGGACGAGCAGAAGCAGCAGACAGGAGGGGATGGCAAGATTGTTGTTGGTGCTACTGGAAACTCTGCTGCTGGTGGTGCTACTGGCGGTGCTGCTGGCAGTGGTGGTGGTGATGGCGGTGGTAACAGAGTAGGGACGCGGGCCAACAGATACAAGGTGCATTCGTTTCAGGAGATCAAGGGGAAGCGAGGGGCCGGGGAGGGCGATGGTGGGGGCGAGGGTGAGGGTGGGGGGCGGGTGGCTATACCAGTGCTGAACAACATAGAGAGGCGGCTCTTGGGGCGACAGCTAGATGCTGTGAGGAGGAGAGAGCAGCGGCTAGGTGTTGCTGCTTCTGTGCTGGTACGAGACAGGTTAGGCGGAGGGGTGGATGGCGGTGGGGTTGGGGATGGGGATACGAAGGTGGATATGGGGGAGGTGGGTATTGATGATGGGAGTATGGGGAGGAGTGGTGTGTTGGGGGGTGTGGGAGGTCAGGGGAAAGCGGGAGGGAGTGGTGTGAAAGAGGAGAGGGTTTCATGGGGTGGGATGGAGGCAGGGGGTGCTGCTGGTGCTCGTGCTGCTGCTGCAAGAGGAGGAATCAGAGCGGCAGGAGGAGCGGGAGGAGCGGGAGGAGCAGCGGCAGGAGCGGCAGGAGCTGTGCGGAGCGCAGCAGGAGGAGGAGAGGTAGAAGCTGCTGGGTCATTGGCACTGGGAGGAAGCGGAAGGCTTGTGAGGGGGTTGAGAGGGGGCAAGGTGGATGGGGGTGCGACAGGAAGGTTCCAGGGAAGGAGTTTGCGACAGGATAAAGAGTTTGACAGGCAGGAAAGTGGGAATCTGATGGGGGAGAGGCAAGGAAAGGACGGGCAGGGGCAGCAGCAGCAGCAGCAGGTGCAAAGGGCCAGAGCGTTTCGAGGCAGTGGGAGTGGACCAGAGAGAGCAGAGCGAGGAGAGAGAGCAGATGGAGGAGAGGGAGGAGAGGGAGAAGAGGGAACGGTGGCAGCAGTGGGAGCAGTGCGAGGGGAAGTGGGGGAGCGAGGGGAGGGAGGGGAAGAGGATGCGGAGGCGGAGCTGTGGAGTGTGAGGAGGCGGTATGGGTATGTGCCTGCTAAGATGGTGCGTGCACGGCAACTGCACCTCTTCCTCTGGTCGCATGTCAAGTCGAGGGACACAAACACATTTGAGCCAAACCTAGGTGAGGGTGACTTTCCCCCTCTTCCCCCCTCCTCTCCCCCCCCCCCCACTCCCCCCCATTCTTTGTCGTTTTATTTTGTTCTTATTCGTTGTGTTGTGTTTTGGTTTGTTTGTTTGTTTGTTTGTTTGTTTGTTTTTTTGGCGTGGACTGATGGGTCTGATTGCTCTCTCTTTTGCGACCACATGAACCCTTTTTTCCATTGTCACCTTCATGTGTTCGTCTGAATGCAGATCCCGACAGCACCCAGGGGTGCAAGTTTGACCTGGCTACGCTTGTGCACGCCATGCCTCTGGAGTTGTTCCTTCAGGTACTGCACCCGCTGTACCTGCATTTCACTTCACCTGCATTTCAACTGCAACCTGCATCTCACCTGCACTGCACCTGTGCTGCACCTGCACTGCACCTGCTTTTGAGGTGTCGGGAAAACGTTTACATCAGGCGCATTACGAGTGTATATGTGAGGCATCTCATAAACGAATATCATTAAGCAAATTAATCTTGTGCTACAGGAATTCTAAGATCTCCGGATTCTCCATGTGGTGAATCCGGTTTGTTCTTTCTGAACGAAAAAAATAGCCCGTTCGAATGCCTCACACCCTTATTAGCAACCAACCCCTCCTGTTCCCCCCTCCCTTTCTCCCTCCATCCCTCCATCCCTCCTTTCCTCTGTTAGTCGTCTCAGATTGTGGGTGCGAGTCAAGACATCCCGTCTCTTACGCCCCTGGCGCTGCAAGGCAAGCTAGTGCAGGACCTGCCGCCCTCGTTTTGAGTCGACTCAAAAGCAGACTCCGTCCGTCCGTCCCTCCCTCCTCTCAGATTGTGGGTGCGAGTCAAGACATCCCCTCGCTCACGCCCCTGGCGCTGCAAGGCAAGCTGGTGCGGGACCTACCGCCCTCGCTCCTGCACACGCTCTTTGACGCCTCGGCTCGCAACCGCCTCTCTCGCACCTTCAACCTCCTGCAGCGCCTGCAGGTGGGTCTGAGGGGGCGAAGTTAGGTGCAGATGGGTGGGGATGGGTGCCCCTGGCGCTGCAGTGCAAGCTGGGAGACCAGCCGCCCTCCCTCCTGCACATGCCTCGGCACGCAACTATATCCTGCTGCAGCGCCGGCAGGTGGGTTCAAAGGGGCTGAAGTTGTGCCAAAGTAAGAGGGCAGACATGATGCTTACAAGGTTGGGTGCAGGGTGGTGGAGAGGTTTGGCAGGTATGGGTTCGTTTGAGCAAAGAGGTGAAAATGTGGTAAGTGAGATTTGATCACTGGACCTTCAGATTGAAGAGGGAGGTATTCAACCAGTGGGTCACCCTATGTGATTTCGTGGAAAAATAATCTTATTCTTTATTTTGCCTGTGTTGTGCTTGATGTGTTATGGGTGTGTGTGTGTTTGTGCTTTGGGTATTCGTGTTCGCATGTATGTGTTTGCATGTATTTGCATGAACTTGCATGTGATTGCATGTGTATGCATGTGTGTGCATGTGCCTGCATGTGTGTGCATGTGTATGCATGTGTGTGCATGTGTGTGCATGTGTATGCATGTGTGTGCATGTGCATGCATGTGTGTGCATGTGTATGCATGTGTATGCATGTGTGTGCATGTGTGTGCATGTGTGTGCATATGTATGCGTGTGTATGCATGTGTATGCATGTGTGTGCATGTGTATGCGTGTGTGTGCATGTGTGTGCATGTGTGTGCATGTACGCCCGTCTACATATATACACCACCCTCTTCTCAGCTGCTATCTCTCCATGTCTCCGCACCAGACCTCAAACCCTCCACCTCCACCGAACCTTCCTCATCACAGCATCAACAACAGCCACAGCAGCCGCCGCCACCACCACAACAGCAACACCAGGAGCAGCAGCAGCAGCAGCAGCGAGAGGAGCACAGCTACCTAGAGCCTTCCTTCCGTGTGTTCTACGTCCTCACACGTCGCATTCGCCTCCAACACCCCCCCTCCACCCAACTACCCCTCGACTCCAAATCCCCCCTCTCCCCCTCCAACCCCTCTCCCGTTCCCCATGCCTCAAACTCCTCCACCTCCTCGCTCCCCAATTCATCCCCTCTCGACCCACAATCCTCCCAATCTCCCGCCAGCCTCCAACGGGGACTGTTACAAAGGAGTGTAGGACCAGAAGCAGTGACTATAGAGCTAGACGCAGCAGAGGAAGAGGGTCTAGCTCTTTACTGGTCCTCCCTTCAAACTGTCTTTTCCACGCTTGCTCCTTCTGTCGGCCGCCGGTTTTTCCCCGCTACCGCTGTTCCCGACTTGCTGAACGCTCGCGTGTGGGCGTCTCATGCCCTCCTGCCGCTGCGGCTGCACATCCAGCTCATGCGCCGCTTACAAGCTGTCTCGTTACAGGATAGGGAGACGACCGTGCGTGCGACTGCGGCTGAGATTGCACGGGAGATGGGGCTTACAAAAGACCAGGTGCTGTATTCGATATACATGAGGCAGGGGCATCTGCGTATGCATGCTCTTAGCTTGCCGCAGCTGGGGTTGCTGCCTGGTGTGCAATGGAGCGATCTGGAGAGGAAGAGGAGGAGGCAGAAGAAGAGGAGGAGGAGCGGGGAGAGACGAGGAAGTGAGGGAGAGGAGGAATGGGACGAGGAGGAGGAGGATGAGGAGGGTGAAAGAGGGGGGAGTGAGGAGGAAGCGGGTGGGAGTGGGGGTGGGAGAGGGAGACGGAGAGGGAAGGGGAGGAACCTGAGAGTGGTTGATGTGCTCGGGAAGAGCAGAGTTGCGGCACTACAGGCGAAGCCTGAGTGGAGGAAGTATGGGTGGGAGGAGGGGGGCGGGGGTCGCGGGAGGGTGCGAATGGTGGGTGCGAGTGGGGCGGGTAGTGGTGGTGGTGGTGGTGCTGCTGCTGCTGCTGCTGCTGCTGGGAGTGGTGATGGTGGTGGTGTTGCTGGTGGTAGGGATGGTGGTAGAATGCTTGTGGTTGCGAAGGAGAAGGGACTGTTGGGGGTTCGTGGAGGGATGGAGAGTGGGCAGGTGAAGCGGAGAGAGGAGCAGAGGAGTGGGGAAGACGCGGCAAGGAAAAGACGAAGGATTGGTGGGGATGAGTGGGGAGGTGATGGGGATGGTGGTGATGGGGGTAAGGATGGGGATGGCGAGTGGGACATGCAAAGGGAGGAGGGGGGTGAAGGGGAGGAGAAGGAGGAAGGAGAGGAAGGAGAGGAAGGGGAGGAAGGGGAGGAAGGGGAGGAGGGGGAAGAAGACGAGGATATTGGGGGGGTTTCAAGAGCGCTTGACGGCTCTGCTGTTCGGCTGCGACGAGTCACTTGGACTCAGTTTTCCACTCGGTGAGTGTGGTGGGACGACAGGGGATGGCATGGCATGGGATGGGATGGGATGGGATGGGATGGGATGGGATGGGATGGGATGGGATGGGATGGGATGGGATGGGATTTAGATGGGATGGGTTGGGTTGGGTTGGGTTGGGTTGGGATGGGATGGTGCTGTGCTGTGTGGTCAAGCGTGTTGCTAATCTTTGTTTTTCCTCACCCGTCGCTCCCCTCTCTCCTCTCCCCTCTCTTCCCCCTCTTCCCTCTCTCTCCTCGATCCCCTCTCTACCTCCCTCCCTCTCTCCCCTCCCTCCCAGTCCCCCCCATCCAGGACTCGATTCCCTCTTAACTCTCAAATGCCCCTCCCACCCATTCCCGCTCCTTCCTCCGCCCCCAACCCCCCCAGCACGCTAATCAAGGAGCACGCGCGTGCTGTGTCCCCCTTACCCGCCATCCACGCATGCAGTGGCACCTCTACTCGCACCCCTGCCCCTTGAGAGTTCCTCACAAGTCTGTGTCCCCCTTACCCCCTCCTCTCCTCCCCTTTCAGCACACTTATTGAGGAGTACGCGCGTGTCCGTGCCCGCCATCCGCGCATGCAGTGGCACCTCTACTCGCACCGCCTGCCGCACTGGCGCCCCTTGACAGTTTCCCACAAGTCTGTTCCCCACTTACCCCCTCCCTTCCCTTCCTCCCCCCTTTCAGCACACTTATCGAGGAGTACGCACGTGTCCGTGCCCGGCACCCGCGCATGCAGTGGCACCTCTACTCGCACCGCCTGCCCTTCCCGCCCTCCGCCTGCCGCCGCCACGTGGCTCTGCTTCGCACCGATGCCCGCACACGCCACGCGCTGCAGGACCTCTGCGCTCTCGTTGCTCTGAGACTGTCCCGCTGGGCCAAGTACAAGCAGGCGCTGGCGCTGCAGCAGCAGCAGGCGCAGTGGGAGGCGCAGCAGGAGCAGCAGCGGCTGGAGCAGGGGGGGATGGATGAGAGTGATGGGGAAGGGGAAGAAGGAGGAGGAGGGGAAGGAGGTGTAGGTGTTCTCACCACGGCTGGACCAGTTGCTGCCACTGCCACTGCCACCGCCAACGCCACTGCCACCCCTGACCCCACTGCCGCCGCTGCTGCAGCTGCTGCTGGTGCTGCTGCTGCTGTAGGGGTTTCTGAGGCACCTGTTCCTTCCCCTTCGCCTCTCTCCATCCCGCCATTAGCCCCCACTCCATCCCGGCAGCGGGAGGTGGTGTGGGAGAGCCGGTGGGAGTGGGACGATTTCTCCTGCCCTGAGTTGGCCCGCGCTGTGGATCGGGTGCTCGTTGCTCATTACTCCCTGCGCCCCTGGCTGATGCAGCAGCAGGAGAAGCAGCAGGTAGGGCGTGCGCCTGCTGCTGCTGCTGCTCCTGCGGCTGCTGTGGCGGGTGAAAGGGAGTGGAGAGTGGAGGGACGGGGAGCTGGTCTGACTGGTGCCACTGCTGCAGTTGCCGCTGGTACGAGAGACTTATCAACAGGCTCAGCAGCAGGAGCAGCAGCAGAGGCAGGAGCAGGAGCAGGAGCAAGAGCAGGAGCAGGAGCAAGAGCAGGAGCAGGAGCAGCAGCAGCAGAAAGTGCACCAATGCTTGCCCTTCAATCGTCCAATCCAGCTGCAGCAACCAGCACTGCCATCACAACAGCAGCTCACACCTCCCTCGCAACCAACGCAGCCAGAGCCGCAGACCGCAGCCAAACCATCATCAGCAAAAAAGCCCTCAAAGCGCAAAAGCTCCTCTCAGAAATGCACCGGCGGCCCTTTGCCGCCCCCGCGTGCGAGCTCATCAAATCCATTCTCAGCGGGACGACTGTCAACGGCTCTCTCCCTCCCCTCCTCGTGCACGCGCTGAGACGATTCCCGGAAAGCGACGTGGTTGTTGCGTTTGAGTTTCTTCGAATGAACGATCTGGTGGTTCCCGGGAAAGGGTCCCGAGCCTTCTTTCTGAACCCTGACCATGTGGAAACGGCTTCTATATCCCCGTTGCCGCCTCATGCCGCTGCCGATAGCGCGGAGTTTACACAGTGGGTGGAGGAGAGGAGAGAGGGGCTGGAAGGGGCGTGGGAAGGGGTGCCTTTAACGCTGAGATGCGGGCATTTGGTGCAGTTGCTGACCTTGGTTTCTCAAGGGCAGCTGGAGCTGAAAGGGGTGCTGCCGAAGAAAGGCGTGGGGGAGAGGGAGGATGATGCTGAGGAGGAGAGGAGGAGGCAGAGGAGACGGGTGTATGAGAAGTTGAGGAGGGAGGGGAGGGAGGAGGAGGCGGAAGAGGAGAAGGGTCGGATGGGTGGTGCTGGGGAAGGGGTGAACGGGGGAGGTGGGAAGGGGAGGGAGGGTGTGGGAGGGGAAGGGAAGGGTGGGGAGGAGCAGAGCGAGGAGGAGGAAGAGGAGGAGGAGGAAGAGGAGGAGGAAGAGGAGGAGGATGGGGAAGAGGAGGAGGAGGGGAGGGGGAATTCGTCGGTGCAGACACCGTATGGTGTTAGGCAGTTGGTGAGGGGGTTTCCGCATCTGAAGGTGCTGGTAAGGAGTGCCCTGGTGCCTGTACCCGATCTGGTTACTTGCCTTTGGGAGAATGCTGTGAAGGGCTGTGTGGGGAATGTGGGGAAGAATGGGAATGTGGGGGATGGGGGGGATGGGGGGGACGGGATGGATGTTGAGGGTGGGTGTGAGGGAATGAAGCAGGGAGAAAAGAACGCAGTATGCGAAGCGGGCATGGTGGAGGAAGGGTTGATGGGAGGAGGGACAGGAGATGGTGATGGTGATGGTGGTGCTGCTGCTGCTGCTGGGGGTGATGATGGTGGTGGTGTTGTTGGGGGGAATGGGAGGAGAGCAGGAGGAGGCGAGAAGCAAGAAGCTACCTCAGAACCCCCTCGCGATTCTATCTTTGAGGCATTTCAAGAAGCTGCTGCTGAAGGGCCACAGGGAGTTCATGTTGAAACCGCCGCACAAGGAGCTGTGCTTGAGAAGAGAGGAGGAACAGTAAGGGAAGGTGTGGAAGCACCAAGGGAAGGGAGAGCAGCAGCAAGGGAAGGGGCAGAGACAGCAAGGGAAGGGGCAGAGACAGCAAGGGAAGGGGCAGAGACAGCAAGGGAAGGGGCAGAGACAGCAAGGGAAGGGGCAGAGACAGCAAGGGAAGGGGCAGAGACAGCAAGGGAAGGGGCAGAGACAGCAAGGGAAGGGGCAGAAGCAGCAAGGGAAGGCGCAGGAGCAGATAGAGGCAATGAGTGGGGGTGGCATCACCCAAGTAGTCTTCTGAGTCGACTCAAAAGTCAACGAGGCAATGAGTGGGGGTGGCATCACCCAAGTAGTCTTCTCTCTGCAGTACAAAGACACATAGAGGCCAGGGGTCACAGAGGATGCTCCTTAGAAGCACTCAAGCGCGCACTAGTCCCAACCGGGGCCGGCGAAAGCTCTGCTTCTGCTGCCGTAGGATCAACCGCTGCAGCAGTAGCTGTGGAAGTAGCATCAGCATCAGTAGCAGCAGCAGCAGCAGCAGCAGCAGCAGCAGCAGCAGCAGCAGCAGTGGGGGTGGGGGAGGAAGAGGTGGAGAGCTGTGTGGCGGAGCTGTTAGCATCGGGGAAGGTCAAACAGGTATGTGTCTCTTTCCGTCTCGTTTTCCCTCTGCTTTTGAGTCGACTCAATAACAGGTATGTGTCTCTCTCTCTCTCTCCCGTTTTCCCTCTGCATCCCTTCCCTCCGTCCCCATCCCTTTTCCCCCCTTCTCTATGCATCCCCGTCATTCTCCCACCGCCTTTCTTCCCTCTCCTCTGAAAACTTCCAACCTATGATCCACGCTCGTGAAAAAACCCGTTTGAGGCGCATCAAATACATTTTTAAGGCGCCTTAAAAACATTTTCCTCCCTTTCTTCCTCTCCTCTGAAGACCTCCAACCTGTTTTCCACGCTCGTTAAAACCCGTTCCCGTCTGCGTCTTCTCTCCTCCCGTCCGTCCATTTCGCCATCTGCTGTCCCGCTGTCCCATCTGCTGCTGTCTTTCCCCCAACGCTCATGCTCCCAGGTTGCTCTCTTCGACTCATCGGTTCTCATGGCGTCGCGCCACGCATCCCTGTTCTTCCTCCGCAAACAAGACACCGCCGCTGCTTCTGCTCTTGCCACCACTACCTCCACCGCCACCACCGCCACCGCCACCGCCACTCTTGCTGCTGATTCTGTCACTCGCACCAACCCATCGCAAGCTCTCACCCACACACCAGGGACGAGCGGGGACAAGGGGAAGGGGTTGGGTTTGGAAGCAGGGGAAGGGGAGAGGGAGAGAGCGGCCCAGGGCCTGATGACCCTGGGGAGCAAGGGGGGAAAGGGAGAGGAAGAGCTGGGGAAGCAGAGGGGGGAACAAGGGGAGAAGCAGGGTGGGAAGAGAGGGGAGAAAGAGGAGAGGGAGGAGAGGGAGCAGGAGGAGGTGGCGATACGGCCGTGGCTGGATGGTTCGGGGCGGGAGAAGGCGGGTCTGCGGAGCATGTTTGTGCGCAAGATAATGGCTGTGGTGGCGTTCCATCCCGGCATAGAGGAGGTGAGTGTGTGTGGGGGGTTGGGTGGGTGCGTTGGGGTTCGTGTGCGTGTCATGGCACCCAACTGGTGTTTGATCGGAGCATGTTTGTGCGCAAGATAATGGCTGTGGTGGCGTTCCATCCCGGCATAGAGGAGGTGAGTGTGTGTGGGGGGTTGGGTGGGTGCGTGGGGGTTAGTGTGCGTGTCATGGCACCCAACTGGTGTTTGATCGGAGCATGTTTGTGCGCAAGATAATGGCCGTGGTGGCCTTCCATCCCGGCATAGAGGAGGTGAGTGCGCGTGGACATGGTTGGGGGTGGGTGCGAGGGTGGGTGCGTGTGACTCAGTCAATGTGGGCTGTTCTGGGCTCCATGTAATGAGGTGAGTGCAACCCTGTCACTCTCAGCGCCACCGTTTCTTCCCCACTTCGGTTAATCTCAGGAAAGTGAATCCACAAGCAGAGAGGAAGAACTAGCCTGAGCTGGGCTTGTGTGTGGCTGGTGGATGGGCATGGGAGGAGGATCAGCGATCAGTCACTGCCAGTCACACTGCCAGTCACAAGTACGGAAAATTGTGCCTCAATTCTCCCGTTTCTCTCTCCTGTGTTCCTCTACTCTCGGCCTCATTGCAGAGTATGCTGCTGCGTCTTGTTCCGCTTCTCAATCCCCAGGTAAGGCTACACACTGACAAAGAAACCAGTAGCTCTAGCTCCCTCTCTTCACTGCACAGTGGTGCAACTAGTAGCTCTCTCTCTCTCTCTCTCTCTCTCTCTCTCTCTCTCTCTCTCTCTCTCTCTCTCTCTCTCTCTCTCTCTCTCTCTCTCTCTCTCAGCACTGCTTCCCTCAACCCCCTTAAATTGCACCTTGCACAGTGTTGCAGCAGTAGCCTTGCATCGCCTCATCATGTTTAGTTCTCCCTTCAAACAAACCCCTGCTTTACTCAATCCATACCCTTTTTTTCCCCTGCGTTTCTTTCAGACATGCAGAGATCTGTTATCCTGGCTCATTGCCGACGGTGCACTGCGGTTACAAACGGTAACATCAGCTCGACCGAAGGCTGTCGGCCCGAGGTTGCTCAGGCCACGTAAAAGAGCAATGATCAACAAAGAGGGGAGATATAGAATGCTTGACAGCCAGCAATTTGATGGAGATGACAAGCATAGTGTATTAGATTCGGTTCTAGAGGTAAGCAAGCACTATTTTGTCAATCCTTCCTGCACACGCCTGCTTTAAGTGGCGTGTGCGTTGTGCTGCTGCCTGGCTTGTGATTGATTGGTGTGTAAGGACACATGTATTCACAATGAAGTCATTTTCGGCTAGTCCTTCCGTGGCGTAAACAATCTGTTTTGCTCTGTGTCTACCTGGGTGAATACTTTAAGAGGTCAGCGTCCGCCTTTTGATGGAGCAGCATTTCTGATAACTGCCAAACTACCACCATAACTGGGTAGCCAAATTATTTGGGTGGACCTGCGTGAAAAGGAGGCCGGATTTCCTCCTGGGTTCAGTTAAAGTTCTTCCCCCAAGAATTTGTTTATAGAAATGTTTTCAGTAGTGTAGCATCATGCTCGCAGACAGAAGTGAAGCGGAAGAATCTTGGAGTGAGTCATTCCAGCCAAAATCAGCACATTCCTCGCCTTTGCACGGCACAAGCATCAGCTGTGATGTCACATTTCCACGTGGTAAAAGCTGAATGGGTACTAATTGTCTCCACGTGTTGATTCGAGCCTACACCAGAAGCAAGCTTATTGGTCGTAAACTATCGCCGCAACTCCGAGTGGCGTTCCCAAGCCGCAACAAGCGAACCTCGGGTTAGGCTAGGGTCTTTAGGTATGTTGTCCCAAACCAACTTCGATACACCCTCTCAGCGCCGTCAACCTTGGTTTGTACACGCTGTGAGAGCAACTGCACTGATTCCACAACCGCCAGGGGGGCGGAGATTCCGCGCGGAAAGATTAGTGAGCGGTGCCGTCGCAGAGTGCTGCGCGAGGCCGATTCGTTCCCCCGAGCCTTTCCCCGCACTTCGCAAGAACCGAACCAGCAGCACTTCTGTCCCTCCCCTCCCCTCCTCTCTTAACAACCATCTGTCCGAACTTCGAACATTCGAACTTTCAAGTTGCGCTGATTTCGAGGATTCCGCCAACGTGCGTCCCCCCCCCCCCTCGCATCATCCCTCTTCAAAAGTCCGATCTCTCACATCTGACGCCCCTATTTTAATTATAATTTGCTGGCCAGGCTGCTTGGCTACTACCGATCTCGAGTCCCGCTTAGCAGCCAGAGCTCCAAAGGCTGAGCTTGTTTATTCTCGTCGACTCGTGTCCGCAACCATTTTCGGACCGATTGCGAGAATCGTCGAAATTAGCGCAAATGGCGGCCGTATCGTCCGCTAATGCAGCAGCAAGCCTGGCGCTTTCAAAGACGAGCGGATCGGTTGCCACATGGGGTGCAGAGTCACGCATTACTAACATCGCTGCAAACAACGTGCTTCACTTGCCATCGAGAGCCTTCTGCACAGCGTTTTCCGCGGGGCCTTCCGCTAAGCGATCGCACATCGTCGTTGTGGGCTTCGCCTCCCCCTCCCACCGATCGCCCGCAACTTCGCCCAGCGATGATTCCTCACTCCCTTCATTCGCCAGCGATCGCACGCTATTTCTCACGAGTCCTCTTTCTGCGTCGTCTACGCACGGATCTAAACTGACGCCTTTCGCAGCCGACGGCAACGCGACGACGGAAACCGGCGGCGGCGGCGGAAACGGCGCTTCCGGCGGCTCCAGCGGCGGCGGAGGCGGCGGCGGAGGTGGCGGGGACGGCAGCGGTAATGGCGGGGATAGCGACAGCGAGAAGAACCGCGCGGACGCATTGGCCGCGCTCGCCGCACTTGGGCGCACCGTGCAGTCCCTCCCCGCGGATCTCGCGGACGCGATTATGGCGGGAAGAATCCCGGGCATTATCGTGGAGCGATTCGCGGCGCTGGAGAAATCGCCTCTGCTGAAGCACTTGCTGCGGTTCGACGGGTTCAAGGAGCGTCTGCTGGCTGACGATCTGTTTATGACCAAAGTGGGGATCGAATGCGGCGTGGGCCTTTTCACCAAGGTACTGAATTGCGCGCCTGTGTCTCCGTGTGCCGTGTGTTAGTTTTTGTTTGTCGGCTGGAGGTACTGAATCGGGGGTGATGTGGCAAGTCCGTGTAGGTTGCGCAACGCAAAGTAGGTGATTAATTAATGCTGCTCTGCTGCTTCTAGTTTTGATGCGTCTCAAATCGCAAAATCGTGCTACAAACAGCGTAATCGTAACAATGTGCCACTGATTGTCCGACCAGTCCGGCCTGATCTGGTCTCGTCTGGTCTCGTCTGGTCCAGTCTGGTCTGGTCTCGTCTCGTCTGGTCCGGCCCGATCTGTGCCTTGTCGCCCGTATACTTCGACGCTTAACCTTACTCTGGATAAACGGAGCCGGCTTACCTTCTGACACATGCTCTGCTCTGCTTGTCTCCCTCGTTCCTCATTATGTGCTCCCCTCTCGCGCCTGACACACACTTGCCTATCACTTACTCTTAACCCTTTCCCATTCCCCTTTTCCATTCCCCGTCCCCTCCCGCCTCCCCCGCGGCGCAGACGGGAGCGGAGTACGAGAAGCGCCGAGAAAATTTCTTCAAGGAGCTCGACTTTGTCGTTGCTGACGTGGTAGGTTGTTGCTGACGTGGCTGGTTACTGCTGACGTGGCAGTTTACTGTTGTTATCGTGCAAGCACAAACGACGATTTGCACTTCCGATGGTCCTCCCCGTAGCAGCATGTCATAGCAGCCCCCCCTCATCATTCCCACCCCCTCTTTCTGCACCTCCCGTTCCCCCTCCCCCTCCCCCTCCCCCTCTCCCTCCCCCTCCCCCTCCCCCTCCCCGTCCCCGTCCCCCTCCCGCTCCCGCTCCCCCGGCCCCTCCTCCGTCCCCGGCCCGCGCAGATCATGGCGCTGGTGGCGGACTTCATGCTGGTGTGGCTGCCCGCGCCCACCGTCGCCCTCCGCGCGCCTCTCGCCAGCAACGCCGGCAAATTCGCGCTCTTCCTCTCCAAGTGCCCTGACAACGCCTTCCAAGTGCGCTCCCCCCGCTTCTTCTCTCCCCCCATCCCCCCGTTCCCACTCCCCCATCCTCCCCCTTTCCCCTTCTCCGTTCCCCCACCCCCCCCCCTTTCCCCGGCCCAAGTGCGCTCGGCCCCCTTCCGTCCCCGCTTTCCCTCCCCTCGCCTCTAGCGCCTCCCATCCCCGGTACTGCCCTTTAGAATTGTCATAATGAGCTGCACCACGTCCTCTCCCTCCCCCTCGACCCCTCCCTCCTGCTCCCCTCCTCTCGTCCCCCTTCTCTCCCCTCCTCTCCCCCCTCCTGTACGCTCAAGCTTCTGTTTCAGCCGCTTCTCCTTTCAACCCTTTTACCAAACTCTCTCCCCTCTCCCCTCTACTGCTCCCCCTTCCCCGCGCCTGGCTCCGCCGTGTGCGCCGTTTCCCCTGTGCGCCTTATCCCCCGCAGGTGGCTCTGCGCGGAACGAGCTACTCTCTGCTCCAGCGAGTGGGCGCCATTGTCGTACGTGCCCACCCCTGCCTCCCTCCCTCACCCCCCCTCATTCCCTCATTCCCTCATCCCCTCATTCCTCCTCCTCTCCCGCCGTCACCTCCTAGCCCAAGCTTCTCCCTATGCTCCTCCCAACCTCCTTAACATGACTTCAAGAGAAATCAAGGATTCGAAGTTTGAACCATCCTCCATCCCCACCCAACCTCGTTTCTCTGAGCTCCTATATCTCCCACCCAAGTCTCTTACCTTATGTACCTCGATTTCCTCTCCGCTCGCTTCTCCTCTCTCCGCACTCCATCCGTTTTACGTCACTTAAGATACCCCACTCCCCTATGTGAACCTGCATTCCGTTGTTTTTCCGTCTCTGCTTTCTGCGTCGCCTTGACCCCCTGGCTTGCTCCCTCCTTGCGTGCCCACAGCGCAATGGCGCCAAGCTGCTAGGAGTGGGAACTGTGGCGTCTCTGGTGAGTGGTGGGGAGGGGTGGGAGTGGTGTCGGGAGGAGTGGGAGTGGTGTGCGGAGGGGTGAAGGCAGTTAGGGGAGAAAATGGAATGATGTATCGGTTCAAGAGGGAAGTGTGCCGTTGTGCTTAATTTCAATTTATGGGATGCCATGGGAATGTACGGCACATGGCATGACATGTCATAGCATCTAGTGCATGTATCCCGTTCCCCTCCCCCTCAATTCCCGCTCAATTCCCCCTCAATTCCCCCTCAATTCCTCCTCAATTCGTCCCCATCCCCTTTCCACCTGGCCTCCCCGGGTCCATCATTACTGCTCCTCCCTCGTCCCATCCATCCTCCTGCGCCCCTCTACCTCCATAAGAGGGGCTGTATGCACCCATTCAGCTGCATCATGACCAATGCTCGCATCCTTTCATGCAAGTTCCTGGCAAGGCAACCTCAATCCCTCTTCCCTTTTCTCATCCACCCCTCCCTCCAACACACCACTCGCCCCTCCCCTCCCCCCCCCCCCCCTCTTTTTTCCTCTGCTTATCAGTTCGGCTGTGGCATGACCAATGCGCTCATGGTGGCTCGCAAGCCCCTGGCAGCGAAGCAACCCCTTGCTCCCTCTTTCTTCTCATAACTCCCTCCCCTCTTCCCCGCCTCTCCCCCCCCCATCTCCCTCCTCTCTCTGCCCATCAGTTCGGCTGTGGCATGACCAATGCGCTCATCATCGCGCGCAAGTCCCTGGCGGCGAAGCAAGCAGCAGCAGACGGCAGTGCTGTGGAGGCCAGTGCGCAGCAGCACGAGGGGGAGGAGACCAAGGTGCCGATCCTCGCAACCAGTGTGGCCTATGGCGTCTACATGGCCGTGTCCAGCAACCTCAGGTACGCTTGCTGGTACTGGTCGGTGATGCTGGTGGGTGGTGGTGGGTGGTGGTGGGTGGTGGTGGGTGGTGGTGGGTGGTGGTGGTGTGGTGGTGGGTGGGTGGTGGTGGTGGTGGTGGTGGTGGTGGTGGTGGTGGTGGTGGTGGTGGTGGTGGTGGTGGTGGTGGTGGTGGTGGTGGTGGTGGTGGTGGTGGTGGTGGTGGTGGTGGTGGTGGTGGTGGTGGTGGTGGTGGTGGTGGTGGTGGTGGTGGTGGTGGTGGTGGTGGTGGTGGTGGTGGTGGTGGTGGTGGTGGTGGTGGTGGTGGTGGTGGTGGTGGTGGTGGTGGTGGTGGTGGTGGTGGTGGTGGTGTGGTGGTGGTGGTGGTGGTGGTGGTGGTGGTGGTGGTGGTGGTGGTGGTGGTGGTGGTGGTGGTGGTGGTGGTGGTGGTGGTGGTGGTGGTGGTGGTGGTGGTGGTGGTGGTGGTGGTGGTGGTGGTGGTGGTGGTGGTGGTGGTGGTGGTGGGTGGTGGTGGTGGTGGTGGTGGTGGTGGTGGTGGTGGTGGTGGTGGTGGTGGTGTGGTGGTGGTGGTGGTGGTGGTGGTGGTGGTGGTGGTGGTGGTGGGGTGGTGGTGGTGGTGGTGGTGGTGGTGGTGGTGGTGGTGGTGGTGGTGGTGGTGGTGGTGGTGGTGGTGGTGGTGGTGGTGGTGGTGGTGGTGGTGGTAATGGTTGGTGGTAGTGCCAGTGTGTGCCATGTAGTGTAATCAGTTGAGGTGACTAGTAAGCTGCATGGCGTCTGCATGGCCGTGCCAAGCAACCTCAGATACGCTTGAGAAGGGCGAGCTTGTGCTTCACAGGTCAGTTGGGCTTTGGGCTCGGCCAGGTGTGCTGTATCTGTTTTTTGAGAATTCTAAAAAAACAGATTCGGGTCTGCATGGCCGTGTCGAGCAACCTCAGGTGCGCTTGAGAAGGGCGAGCTTGTGCTCGATCAGTTGGGCTTTGGGCTCGGCCAGGTGTGCTGTGCTGTGCTTCAGAGGTGCACGTTTGTGAGGCCGTGGCAGTTGTGCAGTTTTGACAAGTCACAAGGGGCTGCATGGTGGCTGCATGGGGGCTGCATGCATCGCGTACACAGGCCGGTCTGATTGACTTTTGAGTTTGGAGGCTCTAACAGACACCTCGTGGCAGTTGTGTAGATTTGAGACGTCACAAGGGCTGCATTGCGTGCACGGATTTGACTGACTCATCCGTAATTTCTACCAAGGTTCTGACACAACATGGATTGGCTGAACTAAACGCTCTCACTGCTCTTTATGCTGTAACGCTGTCGAACCCGCCTCTCTCATCACCCCGCTTACCTCTCCACTCCTCCTCCCTGCCCCTCTTCTTCTTACATTCTATTCTACCCACTCCTTCTCTGTGCCCCTTTGCCCTTGCGTTTTTCTTTTCTGGGCAGATATCAAATTCTGGCAGGAATAGTGGAGCAGCGTATGCTAGAGCCCATGCTGCACAACAAGAAGCTGCTGCTCTCTGTGCTGTCCTTTGCTGTCCGCACTGGCAACACTTTCCTTGGCTCCCTGCTGTAAGCACCCTGGCTTGTCCTGCATGCCCCTCCTGTCCCCCTTGCTCCCTCTCTCCATTTCTAGCCCGTACACACCCGCATACATGCACACTCATGCTCTCACATACTTCAACACAGCCTCTTGTAATCCAGTCTACATACACGCATCTGCATGCATCTACTGCATTGCGTAATATAGTCACCCATACTGAATCCCACTTCTGTTCCAAGCACCCATACTCTCCCTTGAATGTGTACTAATGAACATCTATATATCCCTCTTCCCCCATTCTCTTTCCTTGCTTGCAGATGGGTGGATTACGCCCGATGGGTGGGAGTGCAATCACACGAGTGATTCTCCACCAATTGCTATTTTGTCTTTCAATCAGCTTCTTCCATCCATCCATCACATCACCCTAGCTGCCACATAGGAAGTAGCGCCTTGGTGTGATCTCTGAGTCAACTGGAAAGGAAAAGTTGTGCCTTGTTGCCAGGTTGCAGCATCCAGAATCCTAGTTATTGGTATCCTGATGTTGCTCCGCTCTATGCTCCAATCGATCTCCTTCTACTCCTCGAGTTCCCCTGCCTCGATAAGCTCTTGTTATCAATACCTAGGCCCTCCCTCTTTGCTTTTGGTCATAGGAAAATTCTGGAATACGAATGTTTAGTAAGCAACGAGTTGAGTAATTTATGGAAGAAGTGTATGGAGCAGCTTTTGAAATTGCTTGCAGAAATAGAGCTATAGCGAGTAACGCATCGTTTTCCAGCGAGTACGAAATGAAAAAACGTTGCTGTTGGAGCTCCCGCGCCTTGCCCCACGCAGACCCACAAAGCCCATGGCCGCCGCCGCCGCCATTTGCGGCCGCGAAGCGCCATTTCTTCTAACTTATTCCAGCGTTTCCCGCGCTTCTTCCACTAGCGCTTTGCCCGGCACTCCGCCTACTTCCTCCCCCAGTCGCCTTTGCCCCCGTCCATTCGTTCCGCCAGTCCGTCCCCGCGCTCGTTCCTTCCCGAGGTTCCGCGCTTCCCTTCCGCCTCCGCCCCCGCCTCCGTCTCCGCCATCCATTTCCTCTTCGGAGGCGTCGAGATTGCGGCGAGCCGAGGGAAAACGCCGCGCGAGAGCGGAAGGGGTGGGCGGAACAGGCGGAGCAGGGGGAGGCGGAATGCCGGGGGAAAAGGAACAGGGCGCGGGGGCAGTGTTGGCGGATTTGCGCCCTCCTCTTCCCCCGCTTCAGCTTCTGCAGGTAGAGTGGCGGATCAGGGGAAACGGAGAGAGGCAGAGATGCAAGTGGAAGTAGAGGCTTGTGCATGTGTATCCTCCCTTCCCTTTCCTCCATTGACTCAGCTCTCACCCCCCTCCCACGCTTCCCCGCTTCCTTTCTCCTCGAGCCTCTCCCCCGCGCCTCCCGCGCTCCTTTCTCCCCACGCACCTTCCCCTCCCGCGCACCTGGTCCTCCCCCCAGGTGCATGTGTTCTTCCGCCATGGCGCCCGAGCGCCCCTGCCCCACAGCAAGGCGTGTGGATCGTCCCTGCTGCACGCCTTCCCCACCACCTCCCCCTCCGCACCACCCCCTCCGCGCCTCCCCCCCGCGCCTCCCCCTCCCCCCGCTCCCCCCAGGTGCATGTGTTCTTCCGCCATGGCGCCCGAGTACCCCTGCCCCACAGCAAGGCGCGTGTGCTGGGGAGCAGGACAGGGGGGAAGGGGGGAAACGAAAAGGGGAAGGAAAAGGGGGAGAGGGCGGGGCAGGGGAAAGGGAAGGGGAGGGGAAACGGGAATGGGTCAAGGGGAGGGAGTGAGGAAAACGGGGAAGGGAAGCAGCAAGGGCCGGGGAAACAGCAAGGATTGGGGGAGGAGCTCTTTAAAGGGCAGGAGGGGAGCAGAGGGGAGGGGAACAAAGAGGAGGGGAACAGAGGGGAGGGGAACAAAGAGGAGGGGAACAGAGGGGAGGGGAACAAAGAGGAGGGGAGTGAAGAGCAGGGGAGGGAGTGGGAAGGGTTCCCTGGGGTGGGGGTATGGGAGAGCAGGGCAGTGAGAGCATCGGATATGGCAGGGCTGCCAGAGAGGAGTCACACGCGGGGTGTGGAAGGCTGGCCGTTTGGACAGCTCACGCAAACAGGTGGGTGGGTGGGTGTATTGGTGAATCGTTTTTCGTCTCTTCCTCTCCATTCTTCCTCAAATTTGCCTGCGCATCACACTCACTGCAGCTCCCCTTCCTTTCTCGTCCCCGTTCCTTCCCTCTTTCCTGAAACCTTCCGAGCCTTCCCTTTCTTGTATTGGATCCACTTGTCAATTTGCCTCCTGCTTTAAAACATTCTTCCCTCTTCCCCCCGCCTCTCCCCACAACACTCACCCTTCCCCAACCCGTTCTTCTCTACTTTTGAGACGTCTCAAAAAAACTTCTCCCCTCTTCCCCCCGCCTCTCCCCTCAACCCTCACCCTTCCCCACTCTGTTCTTCTTTACCCAGGAGCACGAGAGGCAGAGGAGTTAGGCAGGCGACTCAGGAAGGTGTATGGTGCAGCATTGCTAGAGGGGCTGGTGGGAAGCGGTGGGGGAGAGAGAGGAGACGAAGCAGGAGGAGGAGCAGAAAGGGGAGTGGGGAGTGGGGAGGGAGTAAGAGGAGGAGGGGGAGGGGGGGGAGTAATAGATTCTAGGGAGCACCAAGACAGAGGGGTGAATGGAGAGGGGCTGAGGGATGGGCACACAAGGGAGGAGGAGGAGGTGCTGGCATCAGTGATTTGCGTCCGATCCACCAACTTTCCACGGACCTACCACTCAGGTCCTCCTCAGGCGCTTCCCAGGTGTTTCCCAGGTGCTTTCCAGGTAATTCTCAGGTGCTTCTTGTGAATCGACTCAAAAGTCATCACTGAGAATGTTCAAAAGCAACCACCACGACCAACACCACCACCACCACCACCACCACCACCACCACCAAACCATCACGCCACTCCCCTGCAGCGTTCTTCCTTCTCTGCGGGTTGCTGGGGTCACAGGAGGCGGCAGCTGCAGCGTGTGGGGGGATGGAGATTCGCGAGGACGAGCAAGAGACGCTCATCGACTCGGGGCGATGTGCACGGTAAGTGAGCTGTGATTGTTGAGTTAAATTGGGAAAATGCCCATTGTACATTGCCTTGGAAAGGTTACCACGCTCACCTGCCGCTCACCTGTCACTCACCTACCGCTCACCTGTCACTCACCTGCCGCTCACCTGTCTGTCACTCACCTGCCGCTGCCTGTTTGTGTGCCGTGCTTCTCGGCCTCATTCCATCCCCCTTCCGTTCTGTCCACCCGTCTCACCCCTGTTTGCACCCCTGTTTGCACTCTTCTTTCACCACCCCAACCAACTCCCTCCTGCAATGCTCCCCTTCCATCCCGTTTTTCGCCCTTCCCTCACCACCAAACCACCCTCCTTTTCCCCACCAGCACCACTCAGTTGACTCACTCTGCGTGGCGCAGAGTCACTCAGGGCCTTCCGCCCCTCCCTCTGCCCTCCCGTGCTGCTATTGCTAGCTACCGATGACGGAGTTGCTTCTGAGAATTCTCAAAATCTTCCCCACCCAACCACCCTTCCTGTCCCCACCAGCACCACTCAGTTGACTCACTCTGCTTGGCGCAGAGTCACTCAGGGCCTTCCGCCCCTCCCGCTGCCCTCCCCTGCTCCTCTTGCTTCTGCTTCTGCTACTGATGATGTTGCTGCTGCTGCTTCTGCTGCTGCTGCTCCTGAAGCTGGTGGTGGTGGTGCTGCTGGCATTGCTGCTGCCTTGGACGGCATTCTCCCTCCTGCTTCTACTGCTAATGTTGACACCACTGGTGTTGGTGCCACCGCTGCTGCCACTGCTGCTGCTGATGGTGATAGTGATGCTGGCAGTGGTGGTGGTTGGCGCAAGAATCACGTGGTATGTTGCCACTGCATGCTTTCTTACTCACCTTAACAACTTTTGAGGCGCCTCAAAAGTTGCCACTGCATGCTTTTTTACTCACCTTGACAAGGGGTGTCACTGCATATTTCTACTGCACACGCGCAGGTGTCTATGCTGTGTCAACGCAGCTTCCACACCATTTTCAACACCATGAAAGAATTTTGAGCACTCCCCCTGCTCACCGCTTTGAGCGCCCCTCATCCCTCCACACACCACCAGCACGCTCGTGAGGCGATGAGAGACTTTTGAGTCGACTCAAAGTCACCTCATTTTGAGCACTCCCCCTGCTCACCGTTTTGAGCGCCCCTCATCCCTCCACACACCACCAGCACGCTCGTGAGGCGATGAGAGACTTTTGAGTCGACTCAAAGTCACCTCATTTTGAGCACTCCCCCTGCTCACCGTTTTGAGCGCCCCTCATCCCTCCACACACCACCAGCACGCTCGTGAGGCGATGAGAGACTTTTGAGTCGACTCAAAGTCACCTCATTTTGAGCACTCCCCCTGCTCACCGTTTTGAGCGCCCCTCATCCCTCCACACACCACCAGCACGCTCGTGAGGCGATGAGAGACTTTTGAGTCGACTCAAAGTCACCTAATTTTGAGCACTCCCCCTGCTCACCGTTTTGAGCGCCCCTCATCCCTCCACACACCACCAGCACGCTCGTGAGGCGATGAGAGACTTTTGAGTCGACTCAAAGTCACCTCATTTTGAGCACTCCCCTTGCTCACCGTTTTGAGCGCCCCTCATCCCTCCACACACCACCAGCACGCTCGTGAGGCGATGAGAGACTTTTGAGTCGACTCAAAGTCACCTAATTTTGAGCACTCCCCCTGCTCACCGTTTTGAGCGCCCCTCATCCCTCCACACACCACCAGCACGCTCGTGAGGCGATGAGAGACTTTTGAGTCGACTCAAAGTCACCTAATTTTGAGCACTCCCCCTGCTCACCGTTTTGAGCGCCCCTCATCCCTCCACACACCACCAGCACGCTCGTGAGGCGATGAGAGCCATCCTTGGGCTGCCCTCCGGCCCTTTCCCCTGGCCCTGGGTGAGTAGCTTTAGGCTGGCCGTGACCTTGTTCCAGGTTTTTTAAGACAAACTTGGATGGCCTTATTATCTTTCTTTTTGTCTGTGAGTCGATACATCCAAGTTTTGTTGGGGCTGTTTCCCCCTCTGCGCATTCCCAATACATTTTTTTTTTTTTTTTTTTTCATCTGTGTCGGTCTGACCATCCGTTTCCTTCTCCCCCCAATGCATCCCAGGCAGTAGACTTCCTGCAGTGCTGCCAGCACCATGGGGACCCCGTACCACTGCACATCACACCTCCTCTAATCCACTCCATCCGCTCCCTCATCGCCCAGGACTATGCCAAGCTCTACTCCGTGAGTCTCTCTCAAGCCCCTCTTTCTTACACCTCGATCACTTAAACAAACCCTCGTTTTAAAATTTCTCATTTTACGGAACCACACAGCTTTGATATAATCATCTTCTCTCGAATCCCGTCAACAGCCAATTTCAGTAATCTCCCCTTTCCCCTCCTCCTCATCCTACCAGTGTCCTCCCATAGCCCGCCTTGCCATGGGCCCTCTCCTGCATGACCTGCACACCTGCCTCTCACGCTGCATCCACTCTCACTGCTACTCCTCCTCTTCCTCCTCCTCCTCCTCCTCCTCCTCCTCCTCCTCCTCCTCCTCCTCCTCCTCCTCCTCCTCCTCCTCCTCCTCCTCCTCCTCCTCCTCCTCCTCCTCCTCCTCCTCCTCCCTCCCACCACCCACCATCACCACATCTTCTCCCACCCCTCGCCTCTTCCTCTACTCAGCACACGACGTTACGCTCTTGCCTCTTGCCGGTACGTCCGTCCGCCTTCCCTTCTAGCACGCCGCCTTCTTTCCTTCCCACCGCCTGTGACGCCAGTGCCTCAAGTTTGAGATGCCTCAACCCCCAAAAAAAAGAAAAACAAAAACAAACAAAAAAGGTCTATACGTTGCCCTCTGCCCACTGCCCCATCGCCGCCCTCTTGTCCCGTCCCAACCCATACAATCCCATCCCCTCCCATCCCATCCCATCCCATCTCCCAGCGTCGCTCGGCATTCCCTATGCCGCGTGGCCGGCCTACACATCATCCATCGCCGTTGAGCTTTGGAGCCAGGACTCTGCCTCAACAACACACATCACACCCACTCCCACTTCCACATGCGCACCCACGTCTCCAATCCACCACACTTCCCACACACACACTCCTCCCCAAGTACACACTCCGCCCAACCTGGCCTCCCCGGAATCCACCTCCCCCACTGCTCCCTCTCCTTTTCCTCCTCCTCTTCCTCCTCCTTCTCCTCCCCATCCGCCTCGCGTTTTTGTGCGTGTGCGCCGGGACTTGGAGCCCGTGGCACTGCCAGTGAAGGTCCCAGCGCGGGATGAGGCGACCTCATGCGTGATCTCTTCTGCGTCGACTCAAAAATCAGCAGCCGGCAGGCAGGGAATTGAACGGCGAGACGGGGAGGCAGACGAGGAGGAGGAGGGTGGTGGTGGAAGGGAGGGGTTGCTGTGCAGTTGGGATGATTTCGAGCGCATGCTGCTGCGGTCTTGCACAGACAACAACGGAGGAGGTAAGGCAAGCAGTGCATACATACTGAGATGATGAAGGCTGTGGGTTGGTGGCTGGTCACAATTGACCATGTGCCATCCATGGTGTTGGTTTGTTGCTGTGTGAGGTGTGGTGACTTTTCTGGGAACAAGGGCAAGGAGGAGGATGCTGAAAGTGCATAATGCAGTGTTCTAGCTCTTGTTTTAGTGCTATTATTATTAATATTATTAATCTTTTAGAGGCACCTCAGCTCGGCGGCTCCTGTCGGCATGAGCATGACTAGGAAGCTCAAGCTGTGCACGGCAAAACGGTGGTGGGTCAGGTACGGTAGTAGCATGGCATGGCAGGTAAAATGCATGCTGCATTTTATTGTAAGGATGGGTGGGAGCACAGTGCAAGGAAACTTGCACTGTGTGCTGGTAAAAGGGTTTTGAGGTAGTTTTGCAGCCGACCAGCAAATGTGCTTGTGTAGTTTGTTTCTTATAGGTAATATCTGCACCTTGAGTTGTATGCAGTGCAGCCTTTCCGTGTTCCATACAATTCAGTTCTTGCCTCATTCACATGAGTGAGCCCTGCATAAGTCAACTAGTACATGGTTCCTGTACAGATGCTACAGTAGAAACCTTCCAAGAAAATTTATCAGATAACACACCTGCTGCTCTAGCCACTACCTGAGTTAGCGCTCCCTGCAACCCCCAATGGTACAAAAACTAAGTAACTCACTGCATCCAACCCACCCCAACTCCCCAACTGCTGCATCTCCTGCTGCCACTTACTCATCTCGTTCTCGCACACAAGGTCGCATAATTACATAGTAACAATTGAGACCCACCCTATCCCCCATTCAACTTCCCATCCCTCCTCTCCCCTAGGCCCCTCGTAAGCCCCTTTCTTACTGGACCCTTCCCTGAACAACAACACCGCTTCTCCACAATCTCCCTTCCCCTCGCCTCCGAAGCCCCCCTAATATCCACAACTCCCAAGCCTCTACTGTCCCGTCGCCTCCCCTCCCAACCTCCCGCCCCGCCCTCTCTCTCCCTCTCTCCCTCTCTCCCTCTCGTTCTAAGCCCCGGACGAGGACACAGGCTCAATGGAGCTGACGAGGCCGTTGCTGCGCAGGTTGAGGCACACCTCCTCCGCCTCGTGCTGCACCACCTCCCTGTCACTCCCTGTACTGGCCCCTTTCCGCCCCACTCACCATCCACTCTTTTTGGACAACAGCCCCCCTTCTTCCCGTCTCTCTCCCCTTCCACTCCCAACCTCCCCTCCTCCTCCTCTCCCCCACTCCCCCCCCCCCCCACACCCCATCCGTCGCCCCGTCTCTCCTATGCATCCAAATCTCTAAGCCCCAGACGAGGAGGCGGGTTCGATGGAGCTGACGAGGCCGTTGCTGCGCAGGTTGAGGCACACCTCCTCCGCCTCGTGCTGCACCACCTCCCTGTCACTCCCTGTACTGGCCCCTTTCCGCCCCACTCACCATCCACTCTTTTTGGACAACAGCCCCCCTTCTTCCCGTCTCTCTCCCCTTCCACTCCCAACCTCCCCTCCTCCTCCTCTCCCCCACTCCCCCCCCCCCCACACCCCATCCGTCGCCCCGTCTCTCCTATGCATCCAAATCTCTAAGCCCCAGACGAGGAGGCGGGTTCGATGGAGCTGACGAGCCCGTTGCTGCGCAGGTTGAGGCACACCTCCTCCGCCTCGTGCTGCACCACCTCCCTGTCACTCCCTGTACTGGCCCCTTTCCGCCCCACTCACCATCCACTCTTTTTGGACAACAGCCCCCCTTCTTCCCGTCTCTCTCCCCTTCCACTCCCAACCTCCCCTCCTCCTCCTCTCCCCCACTCCCCCCCCCCCCACACCCCATCCGTCGCCCCGTCTCTCCTATGCATCCAAATCTCTAAGCCCCAGACGAGGAGGCGGGTTCGATGGAGCTGACGAGCCCGTTGCTGCGCAGGTTGAGGCACACCTCCTCCGCCTCGTGCTGCACGCAGATGAGCACACACGCCATGCCGTTCACATGCGCCTCCTGCATGATGTTCACCGCCTGGTCCACCGTCATGCCCGGCACACACTTCATCAGCACCTGGGGTCTCATCACGTGGCACACACACACATGGAAATGCATTGATGAGGTGGCTCAGAAATGGACTCCTGCATGGTGTTCAGTTCACTGCCTGCTCCACTCCACTGTCATGCCCGGCACACACTTCATCAGCACCTGGGGTGGCACATGGTCAGCAAGGCAAACATGGTAAACACGGGAAGCACGGGAAGCATGGGAAGCATGCACACTGAAATGTAGCATTGAGGCGCATGAAGCGATTGATTCCTGCATGATGTTCACCGCCTGGTCCACTGTCATGCCCGGCACCCACTTCATGAGTACCTGGGGGTGTCACACGGCGCACATGCACATGCACATGCGCGTGCTTCATGTACATGCATGCACATGCACATGCGCATGCATGCCCACCCAGACACACACTTGGAACAATGCAGTGCAACACAATGAAACGCAATGCAGCACACCGCAGCCAGGGCCCAACCCAGCACCACCGAGCAGCACAGCACAATGGACATCAGCCCAGCACAACCCTGTGCACTCCCGTGCATCCCAGTGCACCCCAGTGAACCCCAATGCACCCCAATGCACCCCAATGTACCCCGGTGCATCCCGGTACACCTCTGTGCATCCCCGTGCACCGCACCGCACCTGCACGACGTATTCGCGGCGGTTGAAGTTGTCGTTGTGCAGCATGACACGGTACAGCGGGCTCTTCTTGCGCTGCTTGCTGCACACACGCACAGGGGAGGGGAGAAGACAGGGGTTTTTTAGGCGCCTCGTAAATCGTCTCATCTCTCTACGTTGTGCAGCATGACACGGCACAGCGGGCTCTTCTTGCGCTGCTTGCTTGCTACACTCGGAGGAAGATGAAGAAAGAAACAAGAGGGGGTATAAAGGAGACTCGAGAATTGTCTCATCTCTAATCATGCTGTGGCATGACAAGGTTACAAAGAGCTCCTCCTCCTGCGCTGCTTGCAACCCACCTCTGCTCCGCCTGCCCCAACAGACCCCCCAAAAGCTGCAGATAGATTTGAGATGTCTCGAAACTCGAGAAACGCAAGCGAGTGCGCGCAAATCCGGCTCGCCTGTCCAGACCTTCTCCACAGGCACTGCTGATAGACCTGGTGGTGTTGGCTCAACTCGTCGTCCTCGTGAGCGGTAAATGAGAAATTTTAAATATTCGGCTCCGCCTGTTCAGACCTTCCCCCCAGGCGCTGCTCATAGACCTGGTGGCTGGCTTTACTCCTCATCTCGCTATGTGAGTGTAATGAGGCGATTTTTTAGGCGCCTCAAACATCGCCTCGCTACACGCTTGTCCAGACCCCCTAGGCGCTGCATATAGACCTGGTGGTTAGCTCAACTCGTCGTCTCGCTCTATAAGTGTGACTTACCCATGTCACGCTTCGCAACACGACTTATATACTTTTCAGTAGTTAGAGAGTAGATTATTCTGAGACCTTATCAAGTCCCGGGCGTATCTGGGCAGGCCACTGCTTCCGGGCGACTCAGCGTAATCTGAACGCGCAACGAATGCGGTGAGTGTAGCTTATACTTTCGGAAACGAAACTTCGCGCCATCACCATGAACTGGTAAACGTCATTCCCCGTCCATCCGCAACCAGACTCCCGAAACCACGAGTACGAATTTTATCGGCTCAAGCAAGCAACCACGCATTCTAGTAACTCACGTGAGATCAAATTCGGATTCCCGTCCAGGAGTAGGAGCTACAACGGGCTTGTCAAGCAGCCCGCCGCCGCTGTCCTTAGCAGCGCGCACCGCGCGCACAGGGGAAAATTGCGCGGAAGACGCCTCCGCGGACGACGCTCGCGCGGAAGAGATGGTGTGGAGACGCGCAGTGGTCGCGGCGATTCGGCAGATAAATGCGGAGGGGGGTGCCGGGAAGCTAGCGTTGGCGCAAATGGAGGTGCGCAGTTGGCATGAAGCTACAACGGCTCGAGACGCCATATTACGGAGAACTTAGAAACAAGTGGATTGAATGGGGCCGGGGGAAGGAAAATACGATTTGATTGTAAGGGAGGCGATTGTGAAGGCTTTAAGGCGCGTCTTCGTTGAAAGTAACGAATGAGGTACCACAAAAGCTATCGCGAAAGCTTTGTGTGCGCGGCACGGCTCCTCCAAAGCAGAGTCGTAAATTCGTGAGATGATGACTGATGGTTTGAATAGACATATGCTGCTCCCTCGGGTGTGCTGCTGGGGGAGCATCTGGAAGGATGGAACAGCAGGGGTGTGGAAAACAATGTCCGCGCTACAGGTCAACCCACTAGTAATATCTAGACCTGACATTCGTCTTCTGTACGATGCCTAAAGTACGGGAAACGTGACGTGGCCCTCGAGAACACGCCAGCACAGCTTTTCTAATCTCGATGGTGTGAAACGGAAGACAAGGCCGTGTTTCCGGAAATACTGATGTGGAGCAGCAAGAGAACTAAACTTTCAAACTGGGGAGTTCGTTTGCTCTTGCTTCATACAGGGTGTATGGAGCAAATTGTACAATTTGTGTGTCATGTCCGGTGGTACTGTGTGGTTGCAACCCCTTCTGATTAGGAATTGGCACTTTATTGCAGAGGGATGGGGCTGCATGTGACCCCCTCTTGGCACGAAGTTGGCCCTCAAGGAACGATGGTATATTGCGCGCCAAGCTCTGAGTGTGCCGTGTTGAGTGTTGGCGATGTTGACGGCATCCCGCTTAGCTGACCGACTAACTGCCGCTTGCTTGGATGTGACAGGCGGCCCTTTTGAAGCTCGTTGCGAAGTGAACTGTACATACACCCTCTTTCTCGCCAGACTGACATTGGCCATACAGTACTGACGGACCGGCTGTACTGACATCAATGCGTCCAGAATGGTCCCAGAACATACCAACCGTACGCAACCGTACGTAAAAGCAGGTTTTCTTCCATAAAACGTTGTGTACCGTTCCTCTGGAGTGCATTTGCCCGCCACCTACCCGGCATTCGGTTGCAAGCACCAGATCGCTAGGGTCCAAGAAACAGTGCGCACTGTAGCCAGTGCTTCTCAGTGTCAGTCTGGCGAGAAAGAAGGTGTACAAACGCAGTGCCTCATGAAAACCGGATCCAAACAGAAGACACAACAGCAGGGAACTTGTAAAGGCCGTGTGGTCTGGTTTCTCATAGGTCGACAGAAGATTTGTTTTTCATTGTTAGTGGCTCCTGATGTTTCAAACACCTGTAAAGACCAAATGGTGACGAAAGTTTCACGGGCTGCCACATGTTAGTTTTGTGCGGAAGCTCGTCAGCCAGGAATGAGATCCTCCTGAACGAAAGTGCGCGTGAATGAGATCTGGAAAGTGGGCGATGCTTCTCCACATGGCTGGAGTTTCCCAAGCTCAAGAACATCATTGGTTTCTGATTCTTCGCGAACTGATCGACTCGATGCCACTGCGTCCACATATCTCGAACAGCACTGCTAGTCCACGAACTTTCTTGAATAATTTGAGGGTAGAGACTAAATACAGTAACACGGTTCACTGACTCCAAAAAGCATGGCTTGGAATGTTATGTAGACGCAATTATACGTTTAGCACTACACCGCTGACCAGAAAATTGCTACTTCTGCTCAGAACTCCACCGACTGTGAGGCTGCTGCTCTGCAAACCCGACAATGCTGCTCCGGGGGGGGATCCACTTCTTTGCTGCCCAAAATCGTTTTCGTGGCTAGAATCAACCCGTATTTTGAAGCCAATCCAAATGACGGTCACAAACGCTCGACAATCTTCAGTCTCCCATTGACCCACACCTTTCCTTTCTCTGCCCCCTTCACCCCACCACCACCACTCTTTACGAATCGCGTCTCTCCGAACTCGAGTGGAGGGAGGGAATCACAAGAGCGAACACTCCAGAATCCAAATACACAGTGAAGCTATGGTTGGAATGGAATGGAATGGAACCCACATCGCTGGTTGGTCGCATCGTCGTCTCACTCCACTCGTCCTCCCACTTCCCTCCTCCCTTCACCATTCCACACCGTCCATCCCTCTCCCTCCCCCTCTCTCAACCTCCTCACTGTCTCTCCGTCTTCCCAGTCTTCCCAGAGCTTTCTTTGCAATGGCTCCGCTGCATGAAGCCGTCTCGTCCCTCGTGCACTCGTACCGTTGGTTATTCTCGCTTCTTGCACAGCAACCAGTCGAACATTCTTGGTCATTGATCCGACCCTCCATAGCTAGTACTCACGTAGTAGTATTACCCACATATTTTGTTCAGCCCATTGTGGAGCCTAAAGCAAGCCTATAATCGCCGAAACTTTACTCCCGAACCTCGATTTTGGAGCTTCGTCTCCGTTGCCGCAACTCCTTGATTAGAAACTGTAGACGAAGACATCCTTATAGGCCGTTGGCGCTGGATTCCTGGCAGCAGCCCTCGGGTAACTCTGACTCCGAATGAACTTCCGGATTTTCGCATGTCCGGTTGAGCGTACCTGACGACTCGTTCAGTCACCATTAAATACCACCACCGCTACCGTTACCGTTACCATCGTTAACCACCACCACCACTGGTAATCGCGGCCCAGTGTGTCGACAGCGAGAGCTATCAACCGAGTCGGCTCGGCTGACGAAGAAGCTGAAAAGCGGAGCTCTCGAGGTCGCGAGCTTGCGGGCAATGGCGGGTTCCCGCTTAAAAGAACAAGAAGAAGCAGAGCGCGTGCTTTTGCGCGCGTGAAAAACGGCACGTTGAGAAGCGCCTCCTGAGTAGTGAAACTCTCTGGTTCGACTCTCAGGCGACTAAAGAATTGAAACACGGCCACTTGTGGTGCGCCACTTGCGTACTAAAACAGCTTGCTTCTGCTTGTGTGCTTGCGACATCCGAGCGTTGACCGTTCTTGCCGTAACACAAGGACGACACCTGCTGCCTCCGCCGCTGTTTTCGCCGCTGCTTTCGCCTATAATCTGGCCGCGAGAGCGGAGAGAGGAGTGATAGAAGGGGAGCGGGGCACAGATGGTGGGGCGTGGCGGAGGTGGGGGGGGAGGGGAGATGGAGCGGGGGGACACCGGGGGAAGGGACGGGCGGAACAGAGTGTGGGACGGGCTCGGGCTCGGCATGCGGTGCTGGGGGGAAGAGAGCGCACTTGCGCTGGCGGGGGAAGGGTGGGCGGAGGAAAGCGCGCGGAGGGGAAGGGGGAAAGAACAGGAGCGGATGATGGTGTTGGGGGAAGGTGACGGGCGGGAAGTGGGGGAGAGAGTAGGAGGAGAGGCGGAGAAATGGGCCGTTGGAATGCGGCAGCCAGGGGAACGGCACTCGGGAGAAAGGGAACCAGGAGGAGCGAACGAAACGGCGTTCCGAGGCGGCAAGTCGGCGGGGAAGGAGAGACTCTTGACGGGAGAAGAAAGAACGGGCAGTCGTAGCGCCAGCGGCAGCGGTAACGGTAGCGGTAGCGGTAACGGTAGCGGTAGCGGTAACGGTAACGGTACCCGAACCGGCAGTGGCAGGAGAAAACAGAAAGGCCAGAGAGAGCAGCCACAGTCACCACAAGCCCCAGAGCAGTTGGTAGAGTTGGGGGGGATGGGGGAGATGGGGGAGATGGGGACGGTGGGGGAATCGAGGCAAGCGCGGGAAGGGGACATGGAGCAGGCGGATTCGCTCCAGTTGACGCTGCGAAGCCCGGGGATGGTCGCGCCTGGCGCTCACGGTCTCACCAAGTCGTGCGAGTCAAGCGGAGTCAACGCGGGGAGAGAGGCCGGAGACGGCGGCAGCAGACGCAGCAGAAGCAGCAGGAACAGCACGTCGGACGAGCAGCAGCAGCAGCAGCAGCAGCAGCAGCAGCAGCAGCAGCAGCGGAGTCTGGTTCAGGTAGTGCCAGGAGGGCTGGTAGTAAGCCGTTGCGGATCTAGCGGAAAGAGAGGGACTGCTGGGGCCGCTTGTCGCAGTGACGGCGGAGAGTTGACCCTGGCAACGGGCAGCACACAGCTTGGGCTGGGACGTGCGGCTAAGGAGGTAGCAGCCGCGGCAGGGGTGGCTGCTGGGACAGAAGGGGCAGCAGGAGCAGGAGCAGGAACAGCAGCAGGAGCAGGAGCAGGAGCAGCTGCTGCTGCTGCTGCTGCTGTGAGGGACTCCTGCTCTGGTGCAGTGAGTGCGGTGATATCACAGGACGCTTCGGTGCAGAGGTTTCCAGTCGACGCTCGCGAGGCCCTTGTAACGCGTATGGATGCAGCTGGGCCGGAGCAAGAGCGGGTGTGGGAGGGCAGAGGAGGACGGGAAGCGGGAGAAGGGGTGGAAGGAGGGGGCTGCGGCATGGGGTTGTGGAGAGACGATGTGGAAAGGTGGAGCATGGTGGGGAGAGGAACGAGAGGAACGAGAGGGGCGAGAGGGGCGAGAGGGACGAGAGGGACGAGAGGAGATGAGACATTCCGAGCGTCATCAAATAACCGTCAGGCCGAGAGGCATGGAGCTACACCTTCTTTGAAGTGGAAGGGAGAGGGGGAACCGGAAGGGATGAGAGAAGAGGGAGAGAGAGAGGAGGGAGGAGAGGAGGGAGAAGGAGACGAGGGCGAGAGGGGAGAAGGAGACGAGGGCGAGAGGGGAGAAGGCATGGAGGTGGATGGGCGAGAGACGGATGACGACGTGGGTCCTTCCTGTGCTTTGGTGAGTACATAATGGTTGGTGATTTCTTAACCTATTCCCGCTTTTCAACGCCTTTGAGACGCCTCAGAAACTATGAGTGAGTCTCCCTTCCCCACTCTTTCTTCAACCCCTCTCCCTCTCCTCCACTCTCTTCTCTTCCCCTCTCTCTCTTCTGCCTCCCCCCCCCCCCCCCGCCCGTCACACAGACCCTCCTAGCGGAAGCACTACAGCAGAACCCGTGTGGCTGGGGAGTGGCAAGCACAAGCACTGGTAGAGGAGCTATCAGCCTCTGTGCCATGCCTGCTGCTGCTGGTGGCAGTGCTGCTGCTGCTTCTGCTGCTGCTGCAGATGGTGGTGGTGCCTTTGATGCTAATCATGATGCTGGTGGTGGTATCGGCAGTGGTGCGAATAAGCGTTGTGGTCTTGGTGGTGATGGTGGTGATGGTAGTGATAGCGGTGGTGGCAGCGGCGGTAGCGGTGGTAGCGGTGGCAGCAGTGGTGCTGTTGGTACTGCTGGTGCTGGTGCTGGTGGTGTGAGCGGAGGAGGAGGAGGAGGGGGAGGAGGAGGGGGAGGAGGAGGAGGGGGACGGAGGGAGAAAGGAGGTGCGGACGAGCTAGGCAGTTCATCTGGCAGCAATAGCCCGCGGGAGCAAGCAGTACGGGATTCAAGATACGGAGAGGAGGAGGAAGTTGAGGAGGTGGAGGAGGAGAAGGGAGAGGAGGCCGGGGAGGAGGAGGAGGAGGTGGGGAGGGAGCGGGAGGGAGGGGAGGAGGAGGGAGGGGAGGGGCAGGTGGAAGAATGTGGGAAGCATGGTAGTGGGAAGCATGTGGATAAGAAACGGCATGTGGGGGAGTTCATGGGAGTGCAGGAAGGTGGCGAGTGGGGGCATTATGTGGGAGGAGCGGGTGTGCACGGAGGGGAGGAGGGCGGGGAGGTGGAGAGGGAGGAGCAGATGCAAGAAGGTGGACACGAGTGCAGGGCACTTGATGAACAGCGTGGGAAGCTTGGGAAACAGCACCAGGACCAGGAGCTAGGCCAGCAGCAGCAACAGCAACGGCAGCCGCAGCACTACCAGCAGCAGCACCACCGCCACCACCAAAACCGGCACCAGAACCAGCACCAGCACCACCAGCAACAGCAGCAGCTGCACCAGCAGCAGCAGCACCAGCAGCAGCAGCAACGCGAGCAGCAAGAGCAGCAGAAGGAGGATGAGCAACAACAGGAGCAGGAGGAGGAGGCCATTCGGCACAAGGACCAAAACCCGGGGCCGTGTGAGGAGGGAAAGCAGCAGCAGCAGCAGCAGCAGCAACAGCCACAACAGCAGCAGCCAGGCAGCAGCAAGGGCGTGTGCAGCTTGGAGCAAGTATCAGCTCTCTTCACAAGTGCACCCGACCCGCAACTCCCGTGCCCACGCTGCAACAGCAGCAACACCAAGTTCTGCTATTTCAACAACCGCAACCCCAACCAGCCTAGGCACTTCTGCCGCGGCTGCCAGCGGTATTGGACGGCTGGGGGGGTCATTCGGCACGTGCCTGTCGGCTCGGGCCGGCGCAAAAGCAGGCAGCAGCAGCAGGTGACGCCACAGCAGAATCAGCTACCAGTGACAGCGGCAGTGGCAGCCCCAGTGGCAGCAGCACCACCAGCAGCAGTAGCAGCAGGAGCAGGAGCAGCAGCAGCAGCAGCAGTGGATATAGCGGATCTCCATGCGCTCACTGCTGCTGCTGCCGCCGCCGCTGCTGCTGCTGCTGCTGCCATGTCCTCCGGGAGAGTGCACCCTGGAGGAGGGGAAGCAGCTCACGCTGCTGCTGCTGCTGCTGCTGCAATGGCAGCAATCCGAGCCCTCCCTCCCCCTCCTACACCTGTTACAGGAGCTGGGAATGCCCGTGCTGTGGCGGAAGCAGTGGTGGAGGCAGCAGCAGAAGCAGCAGCGGCAGCAACGGCAGAGATAGCAGCAGCATCCGCAGCGGCAGCCGCAGCAGCAGCAGCAAGTGCGAAGGTGCCTGCTGCTGCTGCCCCTGCGCCGTCTCCTCCTTCTGCTGCTGCCGCAGCTGCAGCAGCAGCAGCGTTGGGTGCGGCAGGCATGGGCGCCCCTCGGAAACCCACAGCTCTACCTGCTTCTGCTCCTGCAGCTGCCCCTGCTGCTGTCTTTCCTGCTGGTGTTTCCGCTGCAGCTGCTGCTGCTGCGATGGCAGCAGCAGCCGCAGCTGCTGCCTCTGCACCTGCTGCTGCGACAACCCCTGCTACTGCTGGCCTCTTGGGCTGGAACCCTCTGCTTCCCTCTCTGCCCCCTCAAATACAAAACCCATTTGCGCATCATTACCTAGGTTTTCCGTTCCTCTCCCCACTACACACCTTCTCCAGTGTAGAGTTAGCAGCAGCTGCTGCTGCAGCAGGACCAGGAGTGGGAGCAGGAGCAGGAGCAGGGCTAGGGCTGGGAGCAACAAGCAGCAGTGCTTCAAGCAATGCAAACGCAGCCCTTTCTCACATCTCCCTGCATGGACAAGGCTCACTTGCGTTCCCTCATCCGTCCTCTGCTTTCCTAGCAGCGGGCCTTCCCAGTCCCAGCAGTATCCAGCACGCCCTAGGCAATTTCTTCTGTGGTGCCACTGCCACTGCAGCTTCTGCTGCTGCTCCCACTGCTGCTGCTTCCTCTGCCACTGCTGCTGCCGCGCCTGGTGCTGCAGCTGCTGCTGCTGCTGCTGCTGCTGCTTACGCACTTGGTGCACACTCACTTTCTGCCTCTGCCCTTTCAAATGCAGCTGCTATAGAATCCTCGTTCTGGGCTGCTAGCAATGGCCAAGCACACACACAGGCACACACACAAGCGCACGCACATGCCTCTTACCTCTCGTCGTTCCTGCCGGGTGCATTCTCGCTTCAGCTGCCACAGCAGCAGACTCTTGAGGTACCTCAGAAGTTCCCGTTTCAGTTGCCGCAGCAGCCGATTTTCCACCAGCAGCAGCAGCAGCAGCAACAACAGCAGCAGTATTACTCATGATCGCATGTTTGATTCTTTCTTCTCTTCTCTTTTCCTTGAAGCTGCCAGCCCCGGCAATTCCAGCAGCAGCAGCAGAATTCTGAAGCACGTGCGTCTGCGCAAGCAGGCGCATGGGGGGTTGCAGCTGAATTCCAGCCTACACTCGTCAACGCGTCTGCAGTCGCATAGTCCTTTATGTGTGGACTGTATACCGATAACTACCATAACAGTGGCGACTACCGTATCTTGTACTCACTCTATGGTTTGATTTTCGAGTCGAGTCTGAAATTGTTGTACTGTACTCACTCTATGGTTTGATTTTCGAGTCGAGTCTGAAATTGTTGTACTGTACTCACTCTATGGTTTGATTTTCGAGTCGAGTCTGAAATTGTTGTACTGTACTCACTCTATGGTTTGATTTTCGAGTCGAGTCTGAAATTGTTGTACTGTACTCACTCTATGGTTTGATTTTCGAGTCGAGTCTGAAATTGTTGTACTGTACTCACTCTATGGTTTGATTTTCGAGTCGAGTCTGAAATTGTTGTACTGTACTCACTCTATGGTTTGATTTTCGAGTCGAGTCTGAAATTGTTGTACTGTACTCACTCTATGGTTTGATTTTCGAGTCGAGTCTGAAATTGTTGTACTGTACTCACTCTATGGTTTGATTTTCGAGTCGAGTCTGAAATTGTTGTACTGTACTCACTCTATGGTTTGATTTTCGAGTCGAGTCTGAAATTGTTGTACTGTACTCACTCTATGGTTTGATTTTCGAGTCGAGTCTGAAATTGTTGTACTGTACTCACTCTATGGTTTGATTTTCGAGTCGAGTCTGAAATTGTTGTACTGTACTCACTCTATGGTTTGATTTTCGAGTCGAGTCTGAAATTGTTGTACTGTACTCACTCTATGGTTCTGCCATGATCCCCTTCCCTTCCCCTGTAACTCCGTAACACACACCTCACCACCAACCTCTAGAGAGAATTTTCTCATTATTATCCTGGGGCATTTTGGTTGGGGAATAATTTTGCCCATGCACGCACCATTGGATTGGCTAGAGCTGCACTGTGAAAAATAGGTGGGACTTCACAAAAAGCCCCCACCAGATCACCCCATTTCATTATGATATGCACTGTATCGCATAGCTCTCTAGTTGCATGCTTGACTTAAAAAAAAACACTGTACCAAAGCCACGCTGTCACAAACAACAAGGCTTACTGCTCCGAGCTTCTGCCAACCTAGGAGGGTGCCAACCAACATAGTATACGGTATGAGGAATCTTAATTCGTGTTGAGCTGAGCCGAGCTGAGCTGACGACGTGTCAGACGACAACAAGGCTGGTGGATAAGCAAGGCAGCTTGTAGTACTAGTAGAACTCTCGTGAACCATGTTTCGACAATCCATGCATGCAAGGCTGGTGTATGGTATCAGAGCTCATCCTTGATCTCAAACTCCTGGTGTGTGTGTGGTGGGCACGCAAACACCCATAGAACACGAAGACAGACGAGGCAGATGCGGGTGGGAATGAGTAGTAGAAGCTTGTAATAGGAGCATTGCATCCGATCCAAGCATGCAGAATGCCAGCATTGGGCTTGGCTTAAGACTAGCCAACAGAGCATGTGCGCTCACGGCTCACCTTGAGGATGGAGAGGCAGTGGTGGAACTGCAGAAGAGTGCTTGGATGCTCTCTGAAGAGGCAGCATTACACCCAACCCAAGCGCTGCAAATGCTCTTTGAGAATTCTAAAAAAACATTCACCTTGAGGATGGAGAGGCAGTGGTGGAACTGCGGAAGAGTGCTTGGATGCTCTCTGAAGAGGCAGCATTACACCCAAGCCAAGCGCTGCGAATGCTCTCGGAGTGCACTCCGAATGCCAGCATTGGACTTGGGGGGCTATTCAGCAGTGCAGTGTGCTGCTCACTCACGGTTCGCCTTGAGAATGGGCTTGAGTTGAGAGCATTGCATCCGATTCAAGCACTCTCAGTTCCAGCCTTTTCAGAATTCTCAAAAGTCAGTTCCAGCCTTTGGGACTTGAAGCTTTTCAGCTGTGCAGTGTGCGCACTCACGGTTCGCCTTGAGAATGGGCTTGAGTTGAGAGCATTGCATCCGATCCGATTCAAGCACTCTCACTTCCAGCCTTTTGAGAATTCTCAAAAGTCAGTTCCAGCCTTTGGGACTTGAAGCTTTTCAGCTGTGCAGTGTGCTCACGCACGGTTCGCCTTGAGAATGGGCTTGAGTTGAGAGCATTGCATCCGATCCGATTCAAGCACTCTCACTTCCAGCCTTTCGGACTTGAAGCTATTCGGCAGTGCAGTGCAGTGCGCTCACGGTTCGCCTTGAGGATGGAGAGGTGGTGGTAAAAGTGTGGTTTTGAGACGTCTCAAAACAGCACTTGAACCGCGAGTGAGTGCTCGAATGCTTTCCAAAGTGCTGGGGGGCTCGAGCAATACATCCGATCCAAGCACTTGGGGGGCATTACATCCATTCAGCAGTGCAGTGCGCTGACTCACGGTTCGCCTTGAGAATGGGCTCGAGAGCATTACATCCGATCCAAGCACTTGGGGGGCTGTTCAGCAGTTGAGTGCGCTCACGGCTCACCTTGAGGATGGAGAGGCGGCGGCGGATCTGCGAGTGAGCGCATGAGCGCTTGCTTGCTGAAGTGGGAGCATTACACGCAACCCCAAGCACTCCGAATGCCAGCTTTGGACTTGAGATGAGACAAATCAGCAGTGCACTCACCTTGAGGATGGAGAGGCGGTGGTGGAACTGCAAGTGCTTGGATGCTGGCAGGCTGGTTGACGACACCAGGCCTTTGAGCCGCGCCACCTCCTGATTAGGGCCGCGGCAAGAGCACGGGCAAGGGAACGGAAGGGGTATAGGCAAGCGCACGGGCACGGGCACGGGCACGGGCACGGGCACGGGCACGGGCACGGGCACGGGCACGGGCAAGCGCACGGGCACGGGCGGCGAAGAGGCGGACAAATGGGGAAAGAGGTGGGCAACGGCACAGGCACGGGGGATGGGAGTGGAGGATGGGGGATGGAGAATAGAGGGTGGAGATAGAGAGTACAGGTCAGGGAGGGAGGGGGGAAGGCGGGAGGGGGGGGAAGCAGATGCAGATGGGACGCATGACAATAAAGTCTCACCTTGCCAACAACCTCTCACCTTGAGAATTCTAAAAAAACATACACTGCAACATTTGTCCCTCCCAGGGGGGGGGAACAGATGGGACGCATGACAATAGTCTCACCTTGCCAATAAGCTCTCACCTTGCCAACAAGCTCTCACCTTGCCAACGACCTCTCACCTTGGCGAGAAATTCTTCCCCTCTCTCAACGACTGCTGCCATGACTTTGAGGTAATACTCCCCGCTCCTGTGCAGCGCAACCACGAGAGGAAGACGAGGGGAGAGGGGTTGGAGTGGATTTCTGAGACGTCTCACAAAAAGTCTTCGCCCCTCTCAATGACTGCTGCCATGACTTTGAGGTAACACTCCCCGCTCCTGTGCAAGTGCAACCACGAGGGGTGGGGGGGGAGGAAGAGGGTGGGGAGAGAGGGGGTGGATTTCTGAGGTGTCTTGTCCAATGACTGCTGCCATGACCTTGACTTGAGGTATATTCCCCGCTCCAGCACGATCACCCGGGAGGGGGGAAGAGGATGAGGAGAGTGGATTTTGAGACATCTCAAAAGTCTTCCCCCCTTCCAATGACTGCTGCCATGACCTTGAGGTATATTCCCCGCTCCTGTGCAAGGGAGGGGAGCGCGTGGGGGAGGGGGAGGAGGAAGGGAGGGAAGGCGATGGGGTGGAGAAAGAAACGTAAAGCAGATTCCTTGGGGGGGCTTACCGATTGCTACTAACGAACAGACAGGAAAAGGAAGAGAAAGAGAGGGCAAGCAAAGGCCAAGAACAACCCTCGTTTGGATAGCCACGAACTCGGTATCATGGGTTGTTGTACACAAGCTCAACTAACAACCCTATCTTGCGGTTTGAGTTCACAGAAATACCATCTCCTTCTGAGTGGAGCTCAACTCCTAGGTAACCCTCAAACTCACTCCATTTCTTCACTAGACTGAGAGCCTCGGTTTCTCTAGACTGAGAGCCTTGGCTGGCTTGTGCACAGAAACTAATCCCATGTCAAGCAATATTGGGCAGTGCAGCACCAAGCAACGCAGCACTGAAGCGATACTCACTCCTTGGCCTCCTCTGGTAGTAGTTTCTGCACAAGCTGCTGCGCCTCTCTGTGTGTGTGCCTTCCCCCTTTTGAGGCGCCTCAAAAGCAACGCAGCACTGAAGCGATACTCACTCCTCGGCCTCCTCTGGTAGTAGTTTCTGCACGATTTTCTAGTCGACTAAGAAATCGGCAGATTACACGCGGTTGAAGCTATACCTACTAGTCCTCCCCTCGGGCAGTTTCTCTGGCAGTTTCTCTGGCAGTTTCTCTGGCAGTTTCTCTGGCAGTTTTTCCACGAGCATTGAAGCTATACTCACTCCTTAGCTGCTGGCCAGGCCAGGGCTAATTACACGCGGTTGAAGCGATACTCACTCCTTGGCCTCCTCTGGTAGTTTCTGCACGAGCATTGAAGCTATCTATACTCACTCCTTAGCTGCTGGCCGGGCCAGGGCTAATTACACGCGGTTGAAGCTATCTATACTTACTCCTTGGCCTCCTCCGGCAGTTTTTCCACGAGCTGCTGCGCCTCTGTGTGTGCCTGCCCCCTGCGCGTGGTATCAGAGCGGAAGTCCACAAAGGCACGCGTGGCCTTGCGCAGAGAGGACAGGGGACCGGAGTGCTGCGGGGCATCCCAGGGGGGGGGGGTTGGGGGAATGTGGGGGGGGGCGGGGAGAGTGGGGGGTGGGACAGAGGGGGGGGAGGAGGAGGCGAGGAGGAGGAAGTCCACAAAGGCACGCGTGGCCTTGCGCAGAGAGGCCAGGGGACCGGATTGCTGTGGGGCACGCAGGTGGAGAGGGCATGTGTGGGGGAGGAGAGGGTGTGTGGGGGGTGGGACAGAGGGGGGGGAGGAGGAGCGGAGGAGGCGGAAGCACGCAAAGGCACACATGGCCTTGCGTAGAGAGGCCAGGGGACCGGAGTGCTGCGGGGGACGGCGGGAGGGGTATGCGCGGATGCATGTGGGGGAACGCGGGGCGGAGGGGGGGAGGATTAGGGGGGAGGAAGGGGAACAGGGGGAAGAGGGTAGAAGAGGGGTGACGAGGCATCATTTGAGAGGCGAATTTCAAGACTGCGCCTGAGACGTCTCAAAAGTGATAAGAGCAACACAGGCGAAGGGGATGGAGGAGCATGGCAGTGCAAACGGAGGTTAGAGACGTCTCAAAACTAGAGACATGTCAAATTTCTAGCAACAGAGGCGAAGGGGATAGAGGAGCTTTGCAAGGCAAGGCACTGACCGCATGGCCATGCAAAAGGAGGTTGGCGAGAGACTGTGCGTCTACAGGACCCGTGTAGCTGCAGGTAGTGGAGGAGTGGTGAGTGGTGGTGAGGGGTGGTGGGGTATTGTTGTTGGAGGTTGAAGGGGGTGGGGTGGAGAGGGAGAGGAGAGGGAACGGGTAAAGGGGAAGGGAGGGTGAAAAAATGGATGGATAGAGATTACTGGGGGAAGCAATTCTTTAGGCGCTTCAAGAATCGTCAGCGAAAAGAGCTGTGGGAAGTGGGAAGGACGGTGATGTTGCAGTTGTTCTCACTTCCCACAATGGGAATGACGGTCAAAAGTGTGGAGGGAAAAAGAGGAGGGAGGAGAGGGAGAAGGGCGAGCAGGGAGGAAGAGGAGGCAGAGGAGATGGGTAAGGGTAGACTGGTAGATAGTCATCACGTTGAGCCTGTGACGGGCAAGTGGTCTTGGGACATATTCTCAGCGAGCAGCAAACTCATTCAGGCTTTAGCAAAAGATAGACAGTAAAACCCTTCTGTAAAACTTAGATCTCAAAAGGGTAGACTGGTAGATAGTCATCACGTTGAGCCTGTGACGGGCAAGTTTTGTGACGTCTCAAAAGGTAATAGGAGGGAGGGAGGAGCGACGGGGAAGGGAAAGGAAGTAGTCACCTTGAGCCGAGGGAGTCACTGGCATCAAACAAGACGAAGTGAGGAAGGCTGCATTGGGGGGGGGGGAGAGACGAGGAGAGGGCGGATGAGGAGAGGGCGGATGAGGAGTTATGAGACGCTTCGAAACAGGGAGAGCAGAGTAGAGACAAGAGAAGGCCGAAAGAGGGGGAGCAGAGAAGTGTCAGGAGTTAGCAGGTTGAGGAGGACTGAGGAGTGGAATGAAAGTCACACACGGAGTATTTTGAGAATTGAGAAATCTTGAGAATTCTTGAGAATTCTTGAAAGAATCCTGAGGAGTGGGAACTTAGGTGGAATGGAACTAGTTGTGCAGGAGCTATGACATTGTTCGAATTAGCTCAGAAATCAATCAGAGGCTACGAGGCAGCAGCAAAAGAAGGGAAGGGCATGGGCAGGCAGACATCCCATCCCATCTCATCCCATCCCATCCCATCCCATCCCATTCCATCCCATCCCATCCCATTCCATCCCATCCCATCCCACCCCACCCATCACATACGATGTGGCGCCATGTCTCTCTGCAAGTTGAGGGTACTTTGATGCATCCACCTGACACAGGGACGCATGGGTGTGGATGCGGGAGAGTGGATGCGGGAGAGTGGATGCGGGAGAGTGCATGCGGGAGAGTGCATGCGGGAGAGTGGATGCGGGAGAGTGGATGCGGGAGAGTGGATGCGGGAGAGTGGATGCGGGAGAGTGCATGCGGGAGAGTGCATGCGGGAGAGTGGATGCGGGAGAGTGGATGCGGGAGAGTGGATGCGGGAGAGTGCATGCGGGAGAGTGGATGCGGGAGAGTGCATGCGGGAGAGTGCATGCGGGAGAGTGGATGCGGGAGAGTGCATGCGGGAGAGTGCATGCGGGAGAGTGCATGCGGGAGAGTGCATGCGGGAGAGTGGATGCGGGAGAGTGGATGCGGGAGAGTGGATGCGGGAGAGTGGATGCGGGAGAGTGGATGCGGGAGAGTGGATGCGGGAGAGTGGATGCGGGAGAGTGCATGCGGGAGAGTGCATGCGGGAGAGTGCATGCGGGAGAGTGGATGCGGGAGAGTGGATGCGGGAGAGTGGATGCGGGAGAGTGCATGCGGGAGAGTGGATGCGGGAGAGTGGATGCGGGAGAGTGCATGCGGGAGAGTGCATGCGGGAGAGTGCATGCGGGAGAGTGCATGCGGGAGAGTGGATGCGGGAGAGTGGATGCGGGAGAGTGGATGCGGGAGAGTGGATGCGGGAGAGTGGATGCGGGAGAGTGGATGCGGGAGAGTGGATGCGGGAGAGTGCATGCGGGAGAGTGCATGCGGGAGAGTGCATGCGGGAGAGTGGATGCGGGAGAGTGGATGCGGGAGAGTGGATGCGGGAGAGTGCATGCGGGAGAGTGCATGCGGGAGAGTGCATGCGGGAGAGTGCATGCGGGAGAGTGCATGCGGGAGAGTGGATGCGGGAGAGTGGATGCGGGAGAGTGCATGCGGGAGAGTGCATGCGGGAGAGTGCATGCGGGAGAGTGGATGCGGGAGAGTGGATGCGGGAGAGTGGATGCGGGAGAGTGGATGCGGGAGAGTGGATGCGGGAGAGTGGATGCGGGAGAGTGGATGCGGGAGAGTGGATGCGGGAGAGTGGATGCGGGAGAGTGGATGCGGGAGAGTGGATGCGGGAGAGTGCATGCGGGAGAGTGCATGCGGGAGAGTGCATGCGGGAGAGTGGCATGCGGGAGAGTGGATGCGGGAGAGTGGATGCGGGAGAGTGGATGCGGGAGAGTGGATGCGGGAGAGTGGATGCGGGAGAGTGCATGCGGGAGAGTGCATGCGGGAGAGTGGATGCGGGAGAGTGGATGCGGGAGAGTGCATGCGGGAGAGTGCATGCGGGAGAGTGCATGCGGGAGAGTGGATGCGGGAGAGTGGATGCGGGAGAGTGCATGCGGGAGAGTGCATGCGGGAGAGTGCATGCGGGAGAGTGGATGCGGGAGAGTGGATGCGGGAGAGTGCATGCGGGAGAGTGCATGCGGGAGAGTGGATGCGGGAGAGTGCATGCGGGAGAGTGCATGCGGGAGAGTGGATGCGGGAGAGTGGATGCGGGAGAGTGCATGCGGGAGAGTGCATGCGGGAGAGTGGATGCGGGAGAGTGGATGCGGGAGAGTGGATGCGGGAGAGTGGATGCGGGAGAGTGGATGCGGGAGAGTGGATGCGGGAGAGTGGATGCGGGAGAGTGCATGCGGGAGAGTGCATGCGGGAGAGTGGATGCGGGAGAGTGGATGCGGGAGAGTGGATGCGGGAGAGTGGATGCGGGAGAGTGGATGCGGGAGAGTGGATGCGGGAGAGTGGATGCGGGAGAGTGGATGCGGGAGAGTGGATGCGGGAGAGTGGATGCGGGAGAGTGCATGCGGGAGAGTGCATGCGGGAGAGTGCATGCGGGAGAGTGCATGCGGGAGAGTGCATGCGGGAGAGTGCATGCGGGAGAGTGCATGCGGGAGAGTGGATGCGGGAGAGTGGATGCGGGAGAGTGGATGCGGGAGAGTGGATGCGGGAGAGTGGATGCGGGAGAGTGGATGCGGGAGAGTGGATGCGGGAGAGTGGATGCGGGAGAGTGCATGCGGGAGAGTGCATGCGGGAGAGTGCATGCGGGAGAGTGCATGCGGGAGAGTGGATGCGGGAGAGTGGATGCGGGAGAGTGGATGCGGGAGAGTGGATGCGGGAGAGTGGATGCGGGAGAGTGCATGCGGGAGAGTGCATGCGGGAGAGTGCATGCGGGAGAGTGCATGCGGGAGAGTGCATGCGGGAGAGTGGATGCGGGAGAGTGGATGCGGGAGAGTGGATGCGGGAGAGTGGATGCGGGAGAGTGGATGCGGGAGAGTGGATGCGGGAGAGTGGATGCGGGAGAGTGGATGCGGGAGAGTGGATGCGGGAGAGTGGATGCGGGAGAGTGGATGCGGGAGAGTGGATGCGGGAGAGTGGATGCGGGAGAGTGGATGCGGGAGAGTGGATGCGGGAGAGTGGATGCGGGAGAGTGGATGCGGGAGAGTGGATGCGGGAGAGTGGATGCGGGAGAGTGGATGCGGGAGAGTGGATGCGGGAGAGTGGATGCGGGAGAGTGGATGCGGGAGAGTGGATGCGGGAGAGTGGATGCGGGAGAGTGGATGCGGGAGAGTGGATGCGGGAGAGTGGATGCGGGAGAGTGGATGCGGGAGAGTGGATGCGGGAGAGTGGATGCGGGAGAGTGGATGCGGGAGAGTGCATGCGGGAGAGTGCATGCGGGAGAGTGGATGCGGGAGAGTGCATGCGGGAGAGTGCATGCGGGAGAGTGGATGCGGGAGAGTGGATGCGGGAGAGTGCATGCGGGAGAGTGCATGCGGGAGAGTGGATGCGGGAGAGTGGATGCGGGAGAGTGGATGCGGGAGAGTGGATGCGGGAGAGTGGATGCGGGAGAGTGGATGCGGGAGAGTGGATGCGGGAGAGTGCATGCGGGAGAGTGCATGCGGGAGAGTGGATGCGGGAGAGTGGATGCGGGAGAGTGGATGCGGGAGAGTGGATGCGGGAGAGTGGATGCGGGAGAGTGGATGCGGGAGAGTGGATGCGGGAGAGTGGATGCGGGAGAGTGGATGCGGGAGAGTGGATGCGGGAGAGTGCATGCGGGAGAGTGCATGCGGGAGAGTGCATGCGGGAGAGTGCATGCGGGAGAGTGCATGCGGGAGAGTGCATGCGGGAGAGTGCATGCGGGAGAGTGGATGCGGGAGAGTGGATGCGGGAGAGTGGATGCGGGAGAGTGGATGCGGGAGAGTGGATGCGGGAGAGTGGATGCGGGAGAGTGGATGCGGGAGAGTGGATGCGGGAGAGTGGATGCGGGAGAGTGCATGCGGGAGAGTGGATGCGGGAGAGTGGATGCGGGAGAGTGGATGCGGGAGAGTGGATGCGGGAGAGTGGATGCGGGAGAGTGCATGCGGGAGAGTGGATGCGGGAGAGTGGATGCGGGAGAGTGCATGCGGGAGAGTGCATGCGGGAGAGTGGATGCGGGAGAGTGGATGCGGGAGAGTGGATGCGGGAGAGTGGATGCGGGAGAGTGGATGCGGGAGAGTGGATGCGGGAGAGTGGATGCGGGAGAGTGGATGCGGGAGAGTGGATGCGGGAGAGTGGATGCGGGAGAGTGGATGCGGGAGAGTGGATGCGGGAGAGTGGATGCGGGAGAGTGGCATGCGGGAGAGTGCATGCGGGAGAGTGCATGCGGGAGAGTGCATGCGGGAGAGTGGATGCGGGAGAGTGGATGCGGGAGAGTGCATGCGGGAGAGTGCATGCGGGAGAGTGCATGCGGGAGAGTGCATGCGGGAGAGTGCATGCGGGAGAGTGCATGCGGGAGAGTGCATGCGGGAGAGTGCATGCGGGAGAGTGCATGCGGGAGAGTGCATGCGGGAGAGTGCATGCGGGAGAGTGCATGCGGGAGAGTGCATGCGGGAGAGTGCATGCGGGAGAGTGCATGCGGGAGAGTGCATGCGGGAGAGTGCATGCGGGAGAGTGCATGCGGGAGAGTGCATGCGGGAGAGTGCATGCGGGAGAGTGCATGCGGGAGAGTGCATGCGGGAGAGTGCATGCGGGAGAGTGCATGCGGGAGAGTGCATGCGGGAGAGTGCATGCGGGAGAGTGCATGCGGGAGAGTGCATGCGGGAGAGTGCATGCGGGAGAGTGCATGCGGGAGAGTGCATGCGGGAGAGTGCATGCGGGAGAGTGCATGCGGGAGAGTGCATGCGGGAGAGTGCATGCGGGAGAGTGCATGCGGGAGAGTGCATGCGGGAGAGTGCATGCGGGAGTGTGCATGGGTACGGGAGCCGGAATGGGCAGTAGCAAGGGGGAGAATTGAGACAGTGCAGAGCAGACACCAAAATGAACTTCGATTTGCTGCCATGCCAACAAACAAATGCAAGGGACAGAGAGCGACCTACAGCTAACAGACGCAGCAGCAGGAGACAGGGAGAGCAGGAGAGCAGGAGAGCAGGAGCCTAGGAACGGACCTTGGCCAGCAGGCAGTCAGTGCGGTCCACTACCAATATAGACGCCTGGCGCAGATGAAGAGGACCACTCTGAGCCGACTCACAAGTAACCTTGCAGATGAGGCAGTGCGCTCTGAGCGGCACCCAACCCAACGATGGGGGGAAGGAGGCCAGGAACCCAGGAACACAGGAGAGCAGGAGAGCAGGAGCATAGGGCGGACCTTGGCCAGCAGGCAGTCAGTGCGGTCCACTACCAATATAGACGCCTGGCGCACATGGGGCAATGCGCTCTGAGCGGCACCAATCGATGGGGTGTGAAGGAGGCGGGGACATGGGAGAAAGGGGGAGATGGGGGGAAAAGGAGGAAAGAAAAGGGGGGGGGGGGGTGTGGAGTGGGCATAGAGGCGTAAAGAAAGTTGTTGAGGGCTTGGGAAGAGAATCAGGTGCAATGATGGGTCATTGTTTCCCCCTCTCCCCGTTTTTCTCCTCTCCTCGTTTTTCCCTCTCCTTTCCCGTTCCCTTCTTCCCCATTTCCCTCAGCCCCACCCCCTTACCCTTCCACCTCCCCCAATCCCCTACCCTCCCACTCCCACTCCCCTTTCCCCTCCACTTCCCTCCCCATCTCCCGCCCCATTTCCCCCCTCTCTCTCCTGCTCCCCCCTCCATCTCACCTTGCTCGCCTCGTCGCTCGGATTGTAAAACTCCACCAATACGCGCCATCTCCCCCCCACCACCTTCGCTATAGTCACATCGTCCAGATCAAGCACCCCCTCTACATGCTCCCCCGGACCCGGTTCCGCCCACGCCTGCGCGCCTGTGCCTTCCCCCGCCTGCGCACCCGCCTCTCCGCCCTCCCCGCCGTAATCCCACATGTCGTAGTCCTGGCCGAGATTGCTCCGCTCGCGCGCAAAGGCGGTGAGGGGAGCGGAATGGGGGAGGGAAAGAGGGAGGGGGAAGGGGAGGGGGAGGGGGAGGCGGGAGGGCGGCGAGAGGAGGACGAGGAGGAGGAGGAGTAAGAGGAGGGAGAGCGGCGGGAGCGGCCGGAAAGGGGAAGGGGAATGGGACGGGGAGCGTGGAGAGTTGTTCCGGTTTTGTCCGCAGATAGCGGGACGAGACGAGGAGGGCGGGGGGAGCGCGGGCGGAAGGCGGAAGCGGATTGCCATGGCTTCGCGCGAGGAGAATCCGCCGATCGTGCGGACGGGGGAAGAAGGACAGTAAAAAGGAGGGCAAGGGGGAAGGGGGGGGAGGGGGGGTTTCGGGAATCGTCAAGGGAAACGCGCTCTCGTCCACTGTTAGTGCTGCTCGCTGCTGCTCAGATCGGCTCTTCTGTCCACAACAGCAACGAGCTGATCTAATTTCACCAACTTTCGATACAAGTCCACAACAGATTTCGCAGCACCTAATTCTTATTAGAGAGGACAAGTCGACTGAATTGCTGGCGGTGCGCAACTGCCAGGGCAAACAGCAGGCGGTGCGAGCCAAGATTTCCTCGTTAAAGGCGGAAACTCGGACTACGCATACCACTGTTCTGCTTGATTTTGCACAGCACTCTACAAAATTATGAGAAATGTGACACTTCAAACCACCCATGGATTTTGTTAGGACCGGTAAAAAGGACACCCTTAATCCTTGCCAGAACACAGGTGTCCAGATTTCTCATAAACCTATGCACAACCTAATAATGCAGCCATAAGGCCGGAACAGTTCCTCCATGCTTTACTGTATCATGCATCTCCTCCCCAATCCCCATTTCCAAACCCTTATCTGCAACTGCAATACTTCAGTTCAGTCCTCTCATCCTTATCCAATCCATCATTCCTCCTAAAACCCTGAACCACACCAGCCTAAAGAACTTCTCCCGCCCATCCTCACAACCAATCAGTTCTTGAATCACACCCCACCCATAACAGTATGCACCACAGCTCTTAAAGCCGGCGGCCCAAATTGTTCATGCTTTTAAAAGTTGACCAGAGGGAGTTTTTCTGGTGTGGGCTTTGGCGAGAGTTTCCGATTTCGTCTAGGTTCGTTTTTTTCGCGAGACCCAGCCAACCCTCGGTTTCCCCCCTGGTGAGTGAATCTGTCTTCGAAAGTCCCAAATTGCAAGTGCGTGACTTTCAAAAGCTTGGACACTCAACTTCGTCAAGTTTTAAAAACTTGACCCTCGCGGCCCGCAATTTGGGACGCGGGCTTTAACCTTCATGTTCATCCCATTCGATCTCAGCATCCATCCATCCATCTCTCAATCCACGCATACGAACTCCCCTCATGTTTCCCCTCTGCCCCTCCCTACGGCCTGCAATACATCTCCTCATAATCATCCTCACCACCACCCAGTTTTAAAATGACTCCAACATTTTCCCCTGTGCTTCCCCATTTCCCCTGCTCCTCCCTACGGCCTGCGATACATCTCCTCATAATCATCCTCACCACCACCCAGTTTTAAAATGTCTCCAACATTTTCCCCTGTGCTTCCCCATTTCCCCTGCTCCTCCCTACGGCCTGCGATACATCTCCTCATAATCATCATCCCCACCACCCAGCCCAAAGTCGTGCGCAAGCGACTGGAAGTTGCTGCGAAGGTTCTGGTAGCGTACATTTTCAAGGTAAGGCACGTAGCGCAGGACACTATCCGGGAGTAGGCCCCGAGCCGCCAGCATTGTGAGAGCAACACCTGCCAGCACCACCAGCAGCAAGACCGCAAAGATAGTCCCGAAAATACCCCACCCATGCCGCTCACTGCCACTGCCACTGCCACTGCTGCTGCTGCTGCTGCTGCTGCTGCTCTCATCGGTTTCGCTGGGAGAGGGAGGGTTATAGCGGGTGTGGCTGCTCACTCCAGCCTGACTCACAGTACCGCTCTGACTGATACTGCTGCTGCTGCTGCTGCTGCTCCCACGAGGGTGAAACCAGCTGCTGCTGCTGCTGCCACTGCTGCCGCTGCTTCCCCCACCAGAATGGAACCAGCTGCTACTGCTGCTGCTGCTGTGAGTATTGAACCCGGCACCACTGTAACTGCTGCTAGTAGCGCCAGGAGTGAAGCTGGAGGAGCTGCTCTTGCTCCCTGCCCCAGACCAATGCCCCTTGCACTTATCCCCCGCAATCTGCCGCTTGTTGTCCGGATTTGGCTTAAAGCCCTTGCCGGCAAGAGCGGGGCAGCTGTCGACTGCGAAAGCGGACAGGTGGCGGCACGTGGTTGGCTCTGTGGTATCGGGCTCGGTGCCGAAATCGCACTGGTAGTCGTTCTCGGAGCACTCGCATTCGGTGATCTGGTTCTCGGGTCGCTTGTATGACTCGCCGTTCCAGCACTTGGATGAGCGGGGCTGGTGGGTTAGGGGAGGGGGAGGGGGTCGGGTTAGGGGTGGGGGGAGGGGAAAGAAGGCGGGGGGGAGAAGAGGACAGGAGAGCCGGGGGGGGGAGGGTGGAAGAGGGAAAGAGGGGGGGGGGGAGATGGGAGGAGAGGGGGGGATGGGGGGAATAGGAACAGACAACGGATTGGCAAGGGCGCACTGGTAGTCGTTCTCGGAGCACTCGCACTCGGTGATCTGATTCTCGGGGCGCTTGTATTACTCGCCGTTCCAGCACTTGGATGAGCGGGGCTGGAAGGGGAAGGGAGGGGGAGGAAAACAGAGCCGGCAAAGAGAGGAGGCGAGTGGGGGAATAGGCTCAGACAGGGGATCGGGCCAAAGGGGCATTGATAGTCTAGAAACCCCACATTGCATGGCAGATGCTATTCGATTTCACATCAGAAGTCGTCGTACCTGGCGCTGAGTGGAAACGATACTAGAGGCAACACAAACCTCATCATACCTGGCGCTGGATGGAGATGTTTTGGCCGAGGAAGCAGCGGGAGGCGGTGGGCGTCCAGAACTCGTAATCGCTGCTCTTGCAGAGCTTGTACTCGGGCAGGGCTGTGAAGTCCAGAGAAATTAGCACCCCCTGCCGCGCCTTCCCAGTGCCGTCGTCCATTGTCAGACCCTGGCGTGAGGGGACGGGGGGAGGGGGGGAGGGTGGGAGCACTCGTCTGAGCATGTGCAACAGCATCTAACCCTTCCCCCACTGTTTCCCCAAACCCCACCAGAATAACCAACTTCTTCCCCTAGTTACCCAGCTCCACACCAATACTATACGACTTTTGAGACATCTCAGAAGCTCACCTGAATGAGAAACTTCTTCCCCTGGTTATCCGGCTCCACGCGAATATTGAAAATATCCACCTGCTGCTCCGCCTCTGCGCACTCATTCGAGCATGTGCGAAAGCATGCAACAGCATCCAACCGCCCCCAGCATCCCAACCCTCACCTGAATGAGGAACTTCTTCCCCTGGTTATCCGGCCCGACCCCGATATTCAACGACTTTTGAGCTCTGGTTATCTGGCTCTCAGGTCACCGAATCTCGCACTCGCATCTCAAACGCTGCTCACCTGAATGAGGAACTTCTTCCCCTGGTTATCCGGCTCCACGCGAATATTGAAAATATCCACCTGCTGCTCCGCCTCTGCAAACGTCTCCTCCTCCCACGTGAGCCCCTCATCCAGAGAGTACATAACCACGCTCGACGCCGTGTGCAGCCCATGCTTGGTCATCACAATCACCCCACCGGAGTCCCCAAACTCGTAGATATGGGAACCCTTAGCCACCTCCTCCCACGTCTGTCCTCCATCCCGCGACAGATACGTGTTGATAGTCGAATCCTGGTACAGGAACGTTCCCACGTTGCCTGTGGAGATGATGAGTCCGGGCGTGGAGGCGTGGGAGTAGACGAAGGCGAAGCCGGAGCCGCCGATCCAGCTGGTGGTGCCGTGCAGGTGGAGCGAGCAGCCGTCGTGCGGGTCGCAGTGGATGGGGTGGCGGTTGGTGTCGTACTCTGGGGCCTTGATGGGCTCCCACCTGAGAGGAGGGAACGGGGGTTGGGGGGGAGGGGGAGAGACAGGGGGGTGGAGGGGGGGCAGAGGGATGGGGTGCGGGAAACAGGTGAGGAGGAGGTGGGGAAAGGGGAGGTACAGGTAGAGAAGGGGAATGGATGAGATGAGGAGTCAGGCGAAGCCAGAGCCGCCGATCCAGCTGGTGGTGCCGTGCAGGTGGAGCGAGCAGCCGTCGTGCGGGTCGCAGTGGATGGGGTGGCGGTTGGTGTCGTACTCTGGGGCCTTGATGGGCTCCCACCTGAGAAGGGTTGAGGAGGGGAGGTCACGGGTGCGAGAGAGGAATTGGTTGGGTTGGAGGATGAAGCACGAGGGTTGGTCGCAGTGGATGGGGTGGCGGTTGGTGTCGTACTCTGGGGCCTTGATGGGCTCCCACCTGAGAAGGGTTGAGGAGGGAGGTCACGGGTGCGAGAGAGGAATTGGTTGGGTTGGAGGATGAAGCACGAGGGTTGGTCGCAGTGGATGGGGTGGCGGTTGGTGTCGTACTCTGGGGCCTTGATGGGCTCCCACCTGAGAAGGGTTGAGGAGGGAGGTCACGGGTGCGAGAGAGGAATTGGTTGGGTTGGAGGATGAAGCACGAGGGTTGGTCGCAGTGGATGGGGTGGCGGTTGGTGTCGTACTCTGGGGCCTTGATGGGCTCCCACCTGAGAAGGGTTGAGGAGGGAGGTCACGGGTGCGAGAGAGGAATTGGTTGGGTTGGAGGATGAAGCACGAGGGTTGGTCGCAGTGGATGGGGTGGCGGTTGGTGTCGTACTCTGGGGCCTTGATGGGCTCCCACCTGAGAAGGGTTGAGGAGGGAGGTCACGGGTGCGAGAGAGGAATTGGTTGGGTTGGAGGATGAAGCACGAGGGTTGGTCGCAGTGGATGGGGTGGCGGTTGGTGTCGTACTCTGGGGCCTTGATGGGCTCCCACCTGAGAAGGGTTGAGGAGGGAGGTCACGGGTGCGAGAGAGG